CCAAGACTTTCTATGCCTCATATACACTCACCGGCCACTTTATTAGGTACACCTGTCCAACTGCTTGTTAACACTTAATCTCTAAGCAGCCAATCACATGGCAGCAACTCAGTGAATTTAGGCATGTAGACATGGTCAAGACAATCTCCTGCAGTTCAACCGAGCATCAGTATGGGGAAGAAAGGTGATTTGAGTGACTTTGAACGTGGCATGATTGTTGGTGCCAGAACGGCTGGTCTACTGGGATTTTCACGCACAACCATCTCTAGGGTTTACAGAGAATGGTCCGAAAAAGAAAAAAACATCCAGTGAGCGGCAGTTCTGTGGGCGGAAATGCCTTGTTGATGCCAGAGGTCAGAGGAGAATGGCCAGACTGGTTCGAGCTGATAGAAGGGCAACAGTGACTCAAATAACCACCCGTTACAACCAAGGTGGGCAGAAGAGCATCTCTGAACGCACAGTACATCGAACTTTGAGGCAGATGGGCAACAGCAGCAGAAGACCACACCGGGTACCACTCCTTTCAGCTAAGAACAGGAAACTGAGGCTACAATTTGCACAAGCTCATCGGAGTTGGACAATAGAAGATTGGAAAAACGTTGCCTGGTCTGATGAGTCTCGATTTCTGCTGCGACATTCGGATGGTAGGGTCAGAATTTGGCGTCTACAACATGAAAGCATGGATCCATCCTGCCTTTTATCAATGGTTCAGGCTGGTGGTGGTGGTGTCATGGTGTGGGGAATATTTTCTTGGCACTCTTTGGGCCCCTTGGTACCAATTGAACATCGTTGCAACGCCACAGCCTACCTGAGTATTGTTGCTGACCATGTCAATCCGTTTATGACCACAATGTACCCAACTTCTGATGGCTACTTTCAGCAGAATAATGCGCCATGTCATAAAGCTGGAATCATCTCAGACTGGTTTCTTGAACATGACAATGAGTTCACTGTACTCAAATGGCCTCCACAGTCACCAGATCTCAATCCAATAGAGCATCTTTGGGATGTGGTGGAACGGGAGATTCGCATCATGGATGTGCAGCCGACAAATCTGCGGCAGCTGTGTGATGCCATCATGTCAATATGGACCAAACTCTCTGAGGAATGCTTCCAGCACCTTGTTGAATCTATGCCACGAAGAATTGAGGCAGTTCTGAAGGCAAAAGGGGGTCCAACCCGTTACTAGCATGGGGTACCTAATAAAGTGGCCGGTGAGTGTATAAGCTACACATGGGGCATCACTCTACATGTGAATTAGACCAAAACCTCAAAATGTCTGATGCTTTGTGTGACATAATGGAAAGATATTAACAATCTGCTAAAGATGCTAATCTGACTTTTGGTCACGATTTGGTTTTGAGGACCTGAACGCAGAGGCTGAGAGGAAGGGGTGAGTACTTGCAGTTTTAATTAACGGTAAAAGTTGAAGGAGGCAGGAATCCAAAATCCAGGGTAAGACCAGGAACCAGCACTGAGGAACTGCACAAGGAGAGTATTAATGGTAAACTGAACAAAGAGAGGACTAATGAGCAGATTGGGAGCAGGTGTGAAGAGAGGAGTCTAGAAAGGAGCTAGGGAAAATGAGACCAACACAAGAGGGCAACAAATAAAAACCTTAGAACTGAAATATATCCAGAAAATACAACAAAATAGGAATTAAACCAATAAAACTAGAAAACACAGAGCTAAGTAAAACATAACAGAATCAAGACCGTGACACTTTTATTATGTCATTATGTATACACAGAGTGTATCATCACAGCATGTATCTGTGAAGAGGAAGTCAAGATTTCTAGATTAATGACGAAGCCATTTCCATGTTATAAGAATTATAGAATCTAAATAAGAATGCCCAACCTTTAAGAAAAGGGACAAGCAGGTTTTTGAGCAAAAGATCTTCTGAAGCAGCTGGAAATAGGGTGCCATGCTCCACAGCGATTTAAAGTCATGTAACAACATGAGCTGAACAGACAACCAATACAAAAAAAAAAACCCACAGAGCAACACACGCTCCTAATCCTACAGTATGTTGGTGGCAGCATCATGCTGTGTTTTTTTCAGTCAGAAGGAATGGTGCTACTCCCCAAACAGGTGACATTATGAAGCGAGGACGTTATATGGACATCCTGAAGCATCTGGAGACACCAGCAAGGTAGCTAAAGCTTGGGCAAAAAATATGTTTCCTAAACAGAAGACTAACAAATTTAAATCAGCTCTTTATAGAGGAATAAGCCAAAATAACAGGGAAGCACTGAGACTTTTGTGGATGAATCTCCAAAATCTAAAGTCATCCAGTTTAAAGGCAGGTATTGATTGAAAGGATGCAACCAAACCATAAAAAAAGACTAATGTAAATATAAAATTCTCTCTTTATTGTCTTTTTCTACTTGTAGCATTTAGTAGCTATGAATTTACATAAATGTGGTATTGATTGAGTTGATTTCTAGGTACTTTTGTCCCTTGTCAGCTTTCAGTTTAACATGAAACACCTCTGCTGTGATACATGAAGCTTTAACACATCATTTAGCACATGAGAAACTTTGTTCATTATCTGATTGTTTTGTAGCAGAACTTTACTTATAAAAATATTTGCTCAACATACGATAGTTGCCTTTTTGTCAAACTTAATATTTGTGCTTTTAGTTGAGAAAAAGTATTAAATTACACAATACAGTTTAAATGCCAATGTATAATTATATTACAAACAATATTACTATATCCTGTTGCTACTTTTGAAAATGTTTAGTTTTACATCATATTGATAAAAAAAATAGATATTTAATTTCTTAAAAAATAATCCAGATACAAGAGTCAACATATTTTGTTTTATATTTAAAACTTTTTATTTATTTATTTTTTTTGCACAGTAAATTACTTTGCACATTGCAAAATTGCAAACTGATAAAATACTGAATGATTCTAAGAACACACAAAGTTTATCTTAGTGCTCAAAATGTACATTTTACATCCTTTTGATTTTGTGCCTCAAAGCAAATCAAAAGTTTTTGTTATCCTTTGCAGGTCAAATCAGCTTTCAATAAAGGCAAACCTAAAGATATAAAGAACAGATGTCCAATAGAACCGGTTCAAGATCCACCTATCAGAGGAGTGCTGGCCTCTGCACACATCCCACTGCAAAGCCTGCTTAATGGGAATCAGACGGTCACTGCTGTCTGTGACTTTGGTCCCCTACCTGTACACTCTGAGAAAACACAGAAGGCAAGTTTTTTTTCCTGTTGCATATTTTGTAAATTCATAATAGATACCATGAGATATACTGCTACGGCCATAGAGACATGTGATTTGATAATATCTGAGAAAAGAAAGTGGTTAGCAGGGAGGAAGGAGAAAAAAGTAGAACAGAGAGGAACCAGCGGGTCCCTAATGAGAATTGCATCACCAACAAAAGGTTATACGAGTTCTGCACGGAACCTTAAAATATTTAAGAATCACTGCTGTTAATATCAGCTCTTCAATGTCTAAGATATAATATAAGGAAAAACTAAAAATTTATGCTGCAACATTCAGGATTTTCAGACCTCTTTTCACTCTCTGTGTAAAGCAGCAAAGAGTGTAGACACAGAGAAACCAGAGAAACCCACCTGAACCAGTCCAGCAGGAACCAGCAACTGTGGAGCTTAGTGTGGAGCTGGAGAAATGGAAAACAGCATCTGAAGCTCATCGTCACAAATATAAATAATATAAATATAAAATATCTGTAACCCAGAGCTGGAGTTTACCCTAAAGTGGATGCATTGATTACAAAAAAAAATATATATATATACAGTATATATGAGAACCCAGTCCAGGTGTTAATGTGATTATTGCATTTTAGAGGCCATCAGTCTGAAATTAAATATGTGCAGCTGACCATTTTACGCTACCATATTTTATTAGGGTAAAAGATTGTGGGTCAAATATCCCCATGCATCCATTTTAAAGTTCTTAACGCAGATGACACTTTCTTGTAATCGATTAAGGTCCCACTACTTCTTTCTTAAATATAACAAGAAATCACTTTCAAAGAAATGTTTGAGCTAACAGTTTTATATTTGTAATCAAATGTTTACAGACACTAATTAGCATTAGCCTATATATCTTTTTCTATTTAGGCTGTGTATGTGTGCAGATGGTTTACTCTAGATTTTTCTCTTTTAACAAATCTTTTATGTCCCTGACGGCTTTAGTTTCTACCAGTTCTCAAGCACGGTAGCAGTAGTATGAGAATTTGGGTTTGTTCTGGGACTGTTACTGGTGCACTGCTGTGAGAAGAATAATGAGGCAGAAAGGTTAGACTACCATTTTTAAAAATCGCCTAAAATCAACATTTCAAACTCATTTAGCTGTTTCAGAAGCACAACCAGTTTTTTACACCCAAAACTAAATAGATACAAACTTATATTTGATTCAATATAATCCAAAATGTCCAAAAAAAGGTCATTTTTATTCTTCATTATTAGTGATGATCAGTTACTTGCTGCAATCAGTTGCTATTGCCCTTGTTACCACGATGCTTACTGAAATAAATATTTTGTAGATGTTAAAGATGATGCAATTGCTATTATTTTTTTTAATTCAAATTAACTTTTTCAATCAGTCATATCCGAGATCTTGCCAACCGTGACTAAAGTTTTTCTTAGCAGAAAAGGTATTGTTGGGTTCATATATATATTAATCTAAAACTGCATTTTAGAAGAAAAATTAATTGTAAAAGGACTTTTGTCAGGAGTGTGACGTAACATACAGTAGCTGTGCTCAAAAATGCCCTTTTTAATATTTACTAACAGATATTACCAAGTAGATACATGGTATTGTAGATGAGTTAAACTGCATATAAACTCTAATGTTCACGTTGACAACCTTTGCAGAAAGACACTACATGTAATTCTACAGAACTATACCTAGATCGTCTTTAAAATGCACGTTTCTTGATTGCTTCAACTTAGTAAAAAGCTACCAGTTTGGGGATATTAACAAAAAGAAAAAAAAGATAACCATTCTTGATTTCATGCAGACAGGTTTATTTATTCTTCCATAAACTTTATTTTCATACAGATATTTAAAACTTATTGAAAAGGATGTCAAAGTAGTCACTGATGCAAAAAGAAATCAGCTTTATCCATAAGAAACGGGAATGGAGAGTTTACAGTGAGAATCTTAATATAATATCCCAGCATACAATTTCATAAGGACTATAAAAGTTCAACCATTAAAGTCAAAGAGCTATGGGTTTCATTGCTCTGCTCCAGGCTGTCCCCTGTGACAAAAGTTACATTTATCAAACCCTTTTCAACAGTACATACTATTTCCAGGCATAAAAAAATAAACTATAGCTCTTTAATTTTTGCTCAAAACTGTTTTACTCAAGTATTTTACAGTTTCAAATAAACACCGTATAAGATACTATATATCGTTTCTGTAACCCCTGACAATCTGTGCAAACAATGGTGGGATACTGATAAATTAGCTGGTCTGAAGAAAATTCATTAAATTGTTCAAAACCAGGACATTTTTTCTTCTCCAGAGTATCTTTGAAAAAAAGTTTGTAACCTTCTGTTTACATCTTCATGTCCAGAAACAGGCTGAAAACCATTCTTCTATGAGGCTGCTTGAGGGCTGGTGTGGACAACAATTATGCTTGGAAGAAACAAGCATGAGATGTAGACAGAAGCCAAGACCCGAAAAAGAATGGAGCAATCAACATGATGTGCAAATGTACTGATTGTGCGAACGGCGGTTTTAGGAAGGCTTTAAAAGGTCTGGTCATCGGTGCAGGATTCAGTCCAGTGGCCAAAGACCTCGCAGGTGTCGCAGTAGGGCCGCTCTTCACCCTTACTGCCATGGTAGGTGGTGTGTGGAGGGGAGTCTTCTATTTGCTCCTGTAGGGGGCAATCCTCTGTTTCATGGAGATCAAAGCAGTCACAAATGTCGCAGAACTTTCTAGGAGGAGGCTTCTTCTTTGCTGGCTGCTCTTCATAGCTGCAGAACAAATTAAAATCAGTCTGATCCCCAAAAAATAAAAAATTACCGGAAACCTGCTATGAACAGGACTTACCTATTATCCATCTCACTTGGATTATTCCCATTGAGAGCAGCGGCTGCCATTTTCTCCAGTTTGTCTTTGAGTTCTCCATTTTTCCTCTGAAGGTCGACAATAACTGAATTCAAGAACTCAATCTGCAGAGAAGAGGGGGAAAAAACGCTCTAACCAGGGACGCTGCAAGTTTCAGTAAAATGAATTTAACATGTTTTAAAACCAAGTCAGAGAGATGGTGGTGGTTAAAGATGGATATTTCAGTGTTGAAAATTATAATAATAAAAAAAAACTGTTACGAAACAAAAAAGACACAATTTTCATTTTATTATTTCTAGTCCTGGCATTAACTATGAATATGTTTTAAAATCCCATAGATTAAAATAGTGCCTAAAAGTATATACCGGTAGACTGTATAAACACAGTAAAATTACCAAATAAATAAACATGTGCTACCGGTAACTCTTAAGTCTTTAACAGTGGAAACTGCTAATAGAACTGTGCATTGTTGTTTAGTCGCTCTGTCCTTTTCAAATCCCCCGTTAGTTGCAGCAGATGAACTAGGTTCTTAAGTCAGGAAATCTGCTGGGCTTCCTTAGAAACACAACTTGGTAAAAAAAAAAAACCAACTCCAACGCAGTTTATTAGAACTATGATTGAGATCAAGGCATTCTAGGTAATCGTCTTTCTGATTGCATTGATATGGTTAAATATTTTTCTATACTGAATTTTATTTCCCAGCCTACTTTATCACAGTCATTGATCGCAGCAAACATTACAATAAATACGGTGTTGGAGGTTTTTGATGTGGCGATTGTTCAACTTATTCTCGGGCCCAAATTGAAAAGCAGAACTTCGTCATGAATATTTACTATAGTATGTCAGGTAATTAAATATATATCGAGACAACGTAATAGATTAAATAAGTTACATAAATGTAGTATCCAAGACATTGGCATATACATTTTAAAATTTTAATATATTTTTAATTTTGAGTTTTTTTTTTTTGTTTTTTGTTTTTTATATCGCCAATAAAAATAAATATCTGATAAGCATATGGTATTGATCAACCCATTATATTTTTCTGTTTATTTTGCTTTTGATTGAAAAAACAAAACAAAAAAACCACAACAGTATTGTCAAACTCTTCTTAAAGGTGCGTCACCATACCCCCCCAAAAAGATCAAGGTAGTGATTTTCTACAGTGAAATATCAGCCTAAGATAAATCAGAGCTTGTAAAAAGCTTGTGCCATAGCAAGCTGATCAACTAGCAGCTGATCTGATATCTGCTGCACCTTCTAAATTACTGGATTATTTTATTTATTTTTAGTATTCGTTTTTCGTATTTCGTTTAATGCTCAAAGTTTGGATGAAACAAGCTTGATTGGTCTTTAGGTGACAGTTTTCACTGATGTGCTGTAAGTGGAAGAGAGACACAGTGGAAAGCATGCACAGATGGAGCTGATGAGAAACTTTAACGAACCGCCTCCTGATGGTGGTGGAGCATTGCCGGGATGAGGAACAGAGCGGAAGAGTTGAATTTAAAAGAGAAAAAGAAAAAAAAAATTTATATTTTATTTTTTATTTCAAAAACTGTAGAGGAAGCAGATGCTGATGGACATCATAGACCCAGATAGTGCAGGATGATGCAAGAAGGTATACAGATGAGCAGAAAGCAGACATGCTGATGGTTCATAGCAATAAAAACAAGAAACGATTTGACAGAAGGCCTTTGCAGACTTAACCAACAGTGGAAGCTTGGAGAAACATTTATAGATTAATAATATCATATTATTTACAACATTAGTGAAAAGTGCATTTATTTCAGTCATTCAATTCAAAAGGAAAAACTCCAAATTCATTATAAAGAACTCAAGAGTTTGATTTTTCCTGTTAGTTTGTAGGAAAATCTACAATTCAGGTTCTTAGATTATCGAACTAAACAACAAGTTATTATTATTATGAAAAGATCATTATTAAAGTTATTATTAAAAGCCAATAACACATAGAGAAATGTGTTGTTGCCTTAAAGTCATGGGCAAGCTGGCTAACCTTGTCCTGCAGACAGTCACTGACATTTCACACCAACAAATCGGATAAGCTACCAATGGCTGCTAAAGAAGATGTTCTACATCCACGCATGGTAAGAGTAAGTGTAGGGAAAAGTGTGATTATATAAAAGGATCCTCTGAAGGAAAGAGCCTTTGGAGGATTGTCAGAGCAAGCCCTTCCAGGAATGTTGGAGGAGATTCTTAATGAAGTCAGTCATTTCAAGCACCGCCACACACATATATCCATTGTTCAGTAGATGGACTGCTGCTGTAAGAGCTCCTTGTCCTCAATGAGAGACAATATGAGGAGAATCTAGCATGGAATAAGGAGTAAAAGAATTGGGCTGTTGCCCAGAGTTCCAAATCCCTTCACAGATAAAATTGTTTTTTACATTTAAAAATCAATATTACATTTTCTGGAGCAAGAACAGAGGCACAGATTCCAACAGAATCACTTGCAGTCTACCAGGAAATTTTAGAGCATTTACTGTTTCTTTTTGCTGATGAATTCTATAGAGATGCTGACTTTATTTTCCAGCTAGACATGGGTAAGCCCACTCTGTCAAAGCTGGTTCTATGCTATGCTAAGCTAAGCTTGTACATTGAGCGTTTTCCCTGATGTAGCTGATAAGAAATTAGCTCCTTGCTGAGGAGGTAGCTCATCCATTTCCATCAGCGGTGTCTGGATCAGGAGACATTTAAAACCTGCAGCATCCTGACCCTGGCAGTGGTGTCAAAAGTACACACATTTCTTATTCAAGTAGAAGAATAGATACTGCAGTTTAAAAACACTGGTAAAAGTTGAAGTATCAAATTGACCTCTTTAATCAAGTAAAAGTGAAAAAGTATGTGCTCCAAAAACACCTTAAACTATTAAGTAACCTTTAAAAAAAAACAGCCAGATGCCACTATATGAACTGAAAGCTCAATTTTTCGACTATTTTGAAAACTTCTTTGAGATAGGGCCAAGGATGAGGGAGGTCTTGCTGGTCTCCATCTCCCGATACGCTCTTGTCCGTTTCCGACCTTTCAGACATTTTAACATCTTTTTCTGAATCCAACATTGTAGCATGGCATAAACAATTCACGTTTGCAGTTTGAAGAACACCTGCTTGCTTCTGATGTGTTCCTTTGGCGTCAGCTCAAATTTGACGAATAGCTAATCAATGAGTGTTTGCGTTATATGACTCACCCAATTACACTATTTTTCACTAGATGTGGATGGCGCACATGACGTGAAATAAATATTTATAAACATTAAACCGAAGCCAAGAGTAATGAGTAACGTTTGTTTTAAAAATGTAAGGAATAGAAAGTATAGATACTTGTGGGAAAATGTAATGAATAGAAGTCAGAAGTAGGAAGAAAAATAAGTGATGGAGTAAAGTATAGATACCTAAAAAGTGTACTTAAGTACAGTAACGAAGTATTTGTGCTTCGTTACTTGATACCTCTGGAGAACAAGAGTTGGATACTTCTAATCTAAACTAATGAGTGAAAAAAAAAAAATATATATATAAATGCTTAAAATATACCACTGTTTGTAATGAATCTATATATAAATTCTAATTTAATAAGAGAAATTCACTTACAGAAGTAAATTACCCATCAAGGATACATTCATTTAGAGAGATGTGGCTTTACATCTTTTTATGCAATCTAAATCATTTATAGCAACATCAGTAAATCAGATGGACTGCTGTAAAACAGAAGTATTATGTATATTATTGAATTAACACATAGCTCCCATATACTCAGTATTATGCTGAGTGGCATACGGTAACAATGGAAAAAACAAACCAAACCGGAATAATGTGTTTGATAGTGGATAAGTGAGCAGTATAAACCTGATTCTCTGCAGTCTCCTTATCTTCCCTCAATTGATCCAAGACTGCATCCCCTAAAAAAAACAAAAAGAAAAGTAAATCAGATTAATGTCTTACTGCACAAAATAAATAAAATAGAAAAAATCTCTGGCTGGGAGTTTTACTTGTTTTTGATGTTACTGTACCTGAGGTCTGGTTGATATTATCAGGCCTGGCAGTGAGGTCCTTCTCAAGTCTTTTTATACGATCCTGAAGATTAGACCTTTCCTCCTCCAAAGCCTGAATTGTCTTCTGCTGCGTTTTTATTGAGGCACTTTCTTCACGCATGGCAACCAACTGTTAAAAAATTAAAAGACAATTCTAAACAGACGTTTCTGTTCATCAATTATCCTTTCAAGACTGAAGGGGCTGCTGCAAAAATGCTGCAATGTATTATTATACTGTATGTACAGATGCTAATCTTCCAGCAAAAGGCTAAAGCAGGTTTTAGAGGAAAGCAGCAACAGATGAAAATCAGGTTCTGCGAAGGAGGAAAAAAAAAAAAAATCGTGTCACCGACAGAGATTTCCGGATAACAATCTTGTAAGTCATGATTCAAGCTACGAGAAGGAGGATAGTAAACACACATATGAAAGCAGCTCATTATTTGACCCAGAACCGACATCCTGCCAGAAGGCTCTCTTGAGGGTTTGATGGGTGAAATGATATTACAGTAAAAAAGGAAATGATGGTAAAAGCTGCATATGAAAGTAAACAGAGTTTGAAAGCATGTTATTCATAAACATCATTTATACTCTATTGGTTTGCTTGCAGGCTTCAGTTAAAGGATACCTTTTTTTTTTTTTTCTTACCTCACTCTTCAAGTTCTCCACCTGCTGGTCCCTCTCTGCAACCAAGGCACTGTTTTTATGAATGGAGTGCTGGAGTGCGGCCTTCTCGCTACTCAGCTGCTGCTTCAGTGTGGCTTCACTGTTAAACGCAAAGCATTGGACAAAATGAAATAAAACTCAGTTTCTACATTCATTATTGGTTTAAGGCAGACCCCTTTACTGCAAACAGGCTTTAAATATGAAAAAAATACAAATGAGGGCTGCAAATAAGGATTATTTTACAAATCGATTAATCTGTCGATTATTGTTTTGATTAATAATCGGACTGCCAAAGGTTCCATAAAAAGATTTTGTATGAAATGCAACCAGATGAAACTCAAATTTTTCCACTTGAGTAGTTCTGGATAGAGCATATTGACGGACAAAAAACAACTTTTTTTTCCTAAATATTTTATATTAAATATGTTTTTAACAATCTTGGTATAACTTCTGCTCTAAGTGGGTTGTTCTGCCAGCTCAAGGCATGTTTTTAAGTCTCTACAGTCCAATTAACAATAAATCGACTACCAAATTAGTTGACGAATATTTCAAAAATCAATTACGATTAATCCGATTAATTGATTCAGCACCAGTACAAACATTTAGAAAGAAAGGCAAAGATTAAAGAGCTGAGGGGAAGGAAGAGAAGGATGGATGGAAAGAGGAGAATACGACAAGGATGGAATAAATGGATAAATGGAGGGAATACAAGGAAGATGGGAAGGAATAAAGGATATAGGGGCAGAGAAATTATAATTAATATTTAGTAATGAAGCTTAGAAATATGAAACTATTTTCCATTAATTTATTTATCTGGTCAAGAATGAAATCAAATCCTTATTTTTAAATAAGGATTTGACAGATCCCCTTGAAATTTGTAGTGTAAAAAGAAAACTTTTTCTCTACATGTCTGAGTACTAGTTCTCCAATTCTGAAATAAATATACGATGGCACACAAAGAAGGAGGCACTGAGAGCACGCCTGCCAGGCAGCAGTGATCACATACTGTACCGCCGCTGAATGTTTTATGAGATGATGACAGACATGATATCAGAAAGCATAAGAGTACCTGAAGGCATTATTTGGCAGGCTTTGAAGGGAAAACAAGTGCAACATAATCAGCCATATATAATCAAAAATGCTAAGCTGATGAAACTATGCACACCTTTAAAAAAAAAAATAATAATAATAATAATATGAAGAATTATTTACCTTTCTTTCAACTCTTCCCATTCTTTTTGGAGATTCGAGTGCTTTTTTGTTAGCAAGGGAAATAAAAAAAGATTTAAATTATAAAACTGTTACACATTTTACAGAATAGGTACACAGCAATCTAACAATAGAACAGACAGTATTTTGTCCCTTACTGTCCCCTGGTCCCTGTGATGATTCTTCAGCTCCTGAGACAGTCGGCTGTTTTCATCCTGAAGCCTCTGCAGGGACTCGGACCTCACAGATACGGCTTCTTTTAGCTCCTCACTTATCAAACAGAAATGTTACTGGAAAATTACCCTGCATGCTGTTCTGATTCATGCTGATTTATGTTTAAACAATATAGCTAATAAGATGTGTTCAAAATAAACTTCATTTTTAGCACATGCACACAATCTAGGAGGATTGTACTCACATTTCCAGACAAAGACTCTTTGTCTTCTGGGTTTCTGTGCAAAGCTGCTCTTTGGATGAATCCAGGTCTTCTTGATACTTTGAGTTCTCTTTTCTCAATGCTTCCAGCTAAAACAACAAAAAAGGTTTGTGACACGTATAAGAGATCTACAGCTATAAGGGTTGATCCCCCGTACTGTTCATCTTCCTCTCCTTCTCTACAGTATCACCTCTTTAATGTAGCAGAGGGGGTTTCTACCCCTATGATTCTAAAGGCTTTGCAGTCTGGAGCCTTGGCTCCTGATCTGGTCTCCCATGGCAACTTGGCGTCAGGCTAAAAGCAATTCAGGTATTCAGAGGTTCTTCAAACCTTGACCAAATTTGGCACAACGTGAGCCAAAGGTTGTTTTATTTTTACTTGCAGACAATGTGGCGCTGTTAGATTAGCTTTATTGGACACTTGTAAGTGATTCATTGGGGATGATTCTCCGATTCTCCAAGTGTATGGTGGACTGCTCTCCCCGCTTCATACAGTTTTACCCAGTTTAACTGTTAAATAATACTAACATTCCTTCTGTCGCATCTGATCTCTTACCTGAGTCTGAATGTCCTCCTTGGAGCTCTGGAGCTCCTTCAGCAAAGCATTCGCTTCGTTCCTCTCCTTCAATAAAACTTCTTTTTCTTTAGTGAGCTGCTCCAGAACCTCTGCACTCTTATCAGAACCCTCTTTAGCCTAAAGCAGGAGTGGGACACATTCGTAAGACCATCAGTTTGAAATATAAATACAACATTAAAAAAGGAATAATACAATTTTATTCTGGCATGACCTACAATTATAAAAAAAAAAAAAATATATAACAATTACAGCCAAATTATTCTCATTTTAAAATATTACATTGAACTACTTACTTTGCTGTTTTATGACTGATTTAGATATTAAAAATTCATTTTTTAGCATATTTCCATTCAAAATTAGATCCTATTTGTTAAGAGTACAATTATCGCCAAAAAAAAAAAAGGTGCATAATGTAGAACGCTGTTTTTACAACCTGTGGGGTCAGAACGGAGCTTGGATTACTTCCTTGTTTTAAAGCCAATCATTTCAGTCTCTCTGGACTGTCAAACGAATGACTGCAGTAAGGCCACTGCAGTTCATCTTAGATTAACGCCATTTAGCATTAGCTCACGTTATGAGCCCACAGGCGAAGGCTGGGAGCTGAGGCACGCAAGAGGTTAGTGAATGGAGGATGAAAGTTAGGACATGAAATTTAAAAAGAGGAGGGAGACAGACCAGCAGGCATGCAGTGAGGAGGTGGCAAAGCCCCAGCAACACTAGAATGTGTGAGTCAGTGATTAGTACTGCAGGAGAAATACCTCAAGCTGCTCAGAAATAGCATTTTTTAGTTGCAATTCGAGCTTCTGGATTTGCTTGATGGCTTCGTCCCTTTCAGCTTGTAGGGCTTCCTTCTGAGCCGAGAGCAGAGTAACACTGGATGATATTTCTTCTTTAACAAGAGCAGATGCTGACACCTCCTCCAGAACCTGCTTGTATTGTTTTTCCAAATTTTCCCTCTCCGTTTGTTGAGCTTGGAAATCCTCCTGCAGCTGTTGGTTGCTTGCTTGCAAACTTTCCAGCTTTTGGAGAAGCCCTGACTGTTCGGCAATGTAACTGTCTTTTTCAGCACAAACAGAAGAAATGTCCTGCTTCAGTTTAGAATGGCTAACTAAGAGCTCTTCCTTCGTCGAGGTTAACAGGGCCACCTGCTTGTCCTTTTCCTCAAGCTTGGATAATAGTTTTTCCTTCTCTTCTCCAAACTCATGGTTTTTATGTTCCTGCTGCTTTAGTTTTTCTCCCAGAGCCTCAATATCTGCTTTCAAGGACTCGTTTTGTTTGTAAGCGTTCTTAAGCTTGAAGGAAATATCTTCATTTTCCTGCGTTACTGTGGAGAGAGTTTTCTGAAGTTCCTCAATTTGTTTGGACAAATCGTCTCTGTCAGCCTTTGCTTTGGGGATTTCGCCATTTTCGGCTTGTAGTTTTGACTCCAGAGCGTTCCTCGCCTCTGACACGGAGGCGATCTGATCTCTTAGCTCCTGGACTTCCTGCAGTAAAACCTGGTTCTCATTCTGCAACGACAGCACTTTCTGTTCAGCTGTGGCTTGCAGAGACTGCAGACGTTGAAGGTCATTAGTGAGGTCATCTACCTGTTGACTCTGCTCTAATCTGGACTTCTCAAACTCCGCTTTTATATTATTATGCTCATCAACAAGATCAAGTTTAACCTGTTCCAGACTTTCAATATTAGACAGATGTTTCTGCACCTCATTCTGAAGGTCAGTCTTTTCTTTCAACAGAGTGGTCATCTTAGCTTCTAGCTCATCTTTTTGGTGCCTAGTTTCCCCAAGCTGTGTTTCTAGTTGACCCTTCTCTTGAATAAGATCAGCATTGGCTCTGCTATAACTATCTAACTGGTCCCTAGTTGTTCGATTTTCCCCAGCCAGCTTGTCACGCTCCAGAGATAGTGTCTCTTTCTCCGATATGGCTTTGGTGTATTTTCCTTCCAACTCTCCCTTCTCCTCTGCCAAACGCTCAAAGTTCATTTTCTGCTGCTCCAAAGCTGAGTCCAGCGTCATCTTTTCTTTACGCAGGTCATGCTGTGCCATCTCCACCTCTGAGAGCTGAAGACGCAACACTTGTCTCTCCTGCTCAAAAGATGAGACGGCTACTTTAGATTTTTCATGAGAAGCAGACAGCTCTTCAGTCAAGACCCGGACCTTCTCCTTTGTCTCTTGCAGCTCTCTGAGGAGCTCGTCTTTCTCATTAGAGACTTTCCTTTGGAGTGCCAGCAGGTTTTCTTTTTCCTGCAACAGATTAAGCCTTTCTGAATCCGTCACTTGACTGTTCGTCTTGAATTCTTCTAGCATCTGAGCCAAGCTGGCTTTAGAGGCCTGAAGCTCTTCACATTCCCGAATTCGACCATCCAAGTTCTTCTTAGTTTGGTTGAGCGTATTAAGGACCTCCTCTTTCTCCATTTCAAGGTTCTTTTTCTCCAAGGCAGTGGCACCAATTTCAGATGACAACCCAGCTTTCTCATTTGTCAACGTTTCTACCTGAGCCTGGATCTGCATATTCTTCATTGTCAGATCTTCTTTTTCCAAGTTCAATGACTTCAGTCTTTCCTGCAGCTCAGCATTCTTATCATCAACAGCTTTTCTGGCATTTTTCGCTGAATCTCGCTCCAATATCAGATTGTCTCTCTCACATGTGAACGTTGACTTTGTTTCTTTAAGGTCCTCTTCCAGTCGGCTCTTCTCTCTGCAGATATTTTCATAATCCTCAAGCAGCTGCTTCTTATTTGACTCAATTTGCTGCATGTCCATCTGATATTTTAAGAGAGAGTCGTTCATCTTAGTATTTGCTATTTGAAGCTCTTCAATTTTGGCCAAGTTTTCCCCCTCACTGCGTTGCAGTACTTCGTTTTTTATTTTTGCTTCCTGCAGGAGATGCTGGAGGGATTCAATTTCCTTCTTTAGTGTAGTCTTCTCTTCATCCAGTTGTTTGGTACTGACCTGTAACTCATCTTGATGTTTTGACAGTTTATCAATAGTCATCAGCAGTTCTTCATTCTGCGCTGAAACCTCCTTGTAACTCGTCTCGAGGAAAGAAAGTTTATTTTGCATCTCAGAAAGCTGCCTCTCCAAACTGTCTCTCTCAGCTTGAGTTTCTTCACTTTTCTTAAGCATGTATTCCAGATCGAGATTCTGCTTGTCCAGTTTTTTCGACATATTGTCAACCTCATGCTTGCAGGAGTCAAGCTCAGCAGACAGTAGCTGGAAAAATAAAAAGTGAAAGGAGAAAAAAGGGGGATATATACACACACACACAGGGGGTAATGCATGAATAAATTCAAAATAAACAAGATATGGACATAAGTGATATGCAAATGGAAAGGTTAGGCCTCAAAAGCAAAAACCCAGAAGGAGGATCAGACCAAAGCCATTTTTAAACTGGTGATGTGGAAAATTCTTACTTCAACCAGAGTCCCTTTCAATAACAATAACAGGATTAAGAAAACTAGACAACATCACTATTACCGTAAAGGGGTTGCAGACCACAGGGTGTCACCACCATTGGCAGCAGAAAAGTTCAACATACGGTAAAATAATTTGGCCAACAGGGAAAAAAATAGAGTTTTGTTATTTTCTTTTAGGCGGATACTATCAGCTGTTAGTGAAAATCTTCTGTCTTTAAAGTCTGCTTATGCCAATTTGGCTTTTACATTAATTCTGCCTTTGACTTTAGGGTATCATTAGTTTAAGTTTGTGGTCCATATTTAATCATTCTTTTATCTTTACTTGCTTTTATTGTCGTTCTATTTACTTTTTAATTAATGTAAAGTCCTTTGTGCTATACACAAACTTGCTTTAGCTATTGAGAAGGATGCATTAATATGTCACATTTGTTCAAACGCACAAAAAAAAAAAAAAAAAAAAAAAAAAAAAAAAAGGAACGATTTGGAAATAATCTAGGAGTGTAAAAATTATGTTAATAGATGATGAGATCAATGGAGTAAATATCGGTAAGCAAAGAAAGCAGTTGCTTACGGGCCCACAACCTCTTAGGGGGCCCATCACTGACACCTGGTAGGCCCCTCCTTAATTATAGACTAGGACGTCTCTTTGCAGATGTAATGGTGTGAGAAATTCCTCTTAAAACAACCTGATTCTGCAGTGGCTGAACCAACCGGACCGCATTTATACCTCAACACATGCCAGGTTTCAACATGATGGTGAGCCGTTTAAACACAACACCAATAGCAAAGCAGACAGTGGTACTTTTAATTACTATGTTAATAACTGTGTATAGATCAAAACTAAACCCATATAATATGTTTCAAACCGCAATAAAGATCTTAAAAGAACTATGTATTTGAGTATTTTATTTTTTACACTACGACTTGAAATTATAGAGTTGTAGATTAAAACCATAACTGTTATGTACAATGTGTTAGCCACGATGGATTCCAAAAACGACAATCGGATTCCAGAAAAGAAAAAGGAAAGAGCTGCTGGAAGAACAGAAAAAACGTCCCAATATAAAGGCGTTCTTACAAAGAACCAAAGAGGGAGAGGTTGACATTGCTGGTACAGTGAGTAAAGATTGCGACCAGCAATCGATAAGCATCTCCCTGAAATTAGTTTTGGCACCTTTGGATGTCTGTAACATGTGGTGGTGCGTTGTCACCAATGGTTCCATTCAAGGTGAGCAGTCACTATTTTTCGGTGTGTGATGTGCGATCATATACTACTGAGAATTGCATAATTGTATCTTCTTGGCAGATTTATGTAACCGTCGCCGTATCCTGAACCTTTATCACGTGTTGCACTTCATATGGGGCCCACTCTGATAATTTCGCTTACAGGCCTTTTGTTGTGTCGTTACACCACATGATGTAATTAGATTATTTAGGCTGTGTTCTACATCATCCTTTGGTCTTGAAAAGTGATTAGAATAGGGCTGTAAATAATGATTATTTTGTAAATGCATTAATCTGTCGATTATTTCTTAGATTGATAATCGAATAGCCAAAGGTTCTTTAAAGATTTATTTTTTATGAAATTAAACCAGATAAAACTAAAACTTTACCACTTGAGGAGTTCTGATAGAGCATATTGACAGAAGAAAAAGCTTTTTTTTCTTAAAAGCAAAATGTTTATATATTTTATTTTTACAATTTTTGATATTATTTAATTGAAACTGATTGTTTCAGCCCTATTGGATTGAATCTTTTTCATATAAAAATATATGCTGTTTTAAATACTGTTAAACATTTAGGCTTTTGAAAATGTTCCTCCTAAATACCAGAAATCTTTTTCAAATTAAAGATGTTGCCAATAAAGCTTGTAAAACATACTGGTTCTTCCTGGGCTTACCTGTGCCTGTTCTTTGTATGGCTGCAGCTCACCCACCGTTTTCTCCAGCTCCTCGGTTTTGTTGTTAGAGGTCAAAAGCTCCAGCTTCAACTTATCGATCTGTGTTTGCAGAACTTCAAGTTCCTTTAGATGGAGCTCTGAAGCCTCAGAGAGGGATTGCTCTTGTGAGGCCTTCAGATCCTCAACTCGAATCTCACTCTGTTTAAGAGAGTTTTCCTACAAAAAAGAAAAACCAAACAAAAAAAATGTAACTTTATTTTCTCCTCAGAAGTCGCGCACACATGGGCTGCAGTTTCGAAAAACTGAAAAAATATGAGATTCAACATTTGTCAAGTATTACTTCAAATCTAAAGAGGGCTCCCACAAACAATCCAACTTGCAAGAAAAGACATAAAATAAAAATGTTTATAATTGTAAAACTGTCTTCTCTCGTGAGTTGGACAATACATGGGAGTCCTCTTTAAATTTTGATAATTTTTTTAAGTATTACTTAAAAACTGTCCCATTAGTTTGTAAGTAAATTTCAGTCCTCCAAAAAAAAAAAAAAAAAAAACTGCCGTTCACCAGTATAAATGAATTACCAGCATAAAAAACAAAAGATGTTTCAACAGCTCTGTGGCAGTTTTGAAATACCAACCAGCGCAACTATCTTCTCCTGCAGACTACTTGTTTCAGACTGATGTGCGTCTTTAGCCTCCCTCAGCTGTTGCTCTTTGTTTGACTCCTCTTTCAGGAGCTTTTCATCCAGGTGTGCCACCTTTTCCTTCTCCTCTGCCAGCTGATTCTGCAACTCCTCCAGTCTTCTGTATAACGTCAACAAAGACGATATTGTCCAGGAAAAGGTTACAAAACTATAGATCTACTCTACTAGAACGAGTGTAAACAATGTGAATATCTGCAGCGCTTTTAACAGATTCAAATAAAAATCAACATATTTTCAACATTTAAGTAATATCCAGTTTCAGTACCTTTCCTTCTGCATGAGGTCTTCATTCATTTTAGTAAGTTGATCTGAACTGTCACCAGATGCCTTCATCATGTCGGAAATATCCTTTTCCAGCTTGCTTTTGTCCTTTGAAAACTGCTCAAGCTTTTCATCAGAAGCCTTTAGTTTTCTCACCATTCCTGAAGAAAAAAAAAAAACGATTTTTTTGCTAGTGTTTAGTGTTTATTTTAAAAGTAGTTAGTTACTTCTCTAAAAAAGTAGAGTTAGTAACCCAGTTACTACTCAGCAAAAGTTACTCATTACCAGCCAAAGTAACTATACATTTATTTTAAGTAGATTTGAGGATGCTTCTTTTTTCTTTCTTTTTTTTTGCAAATTGAAAATCTCCAAATGGCTATAAAATAGGTATGAAGTTGAAAAATAATTATTTTCAGGCAATTACACAAGAACTAAATATACACCTGCAGTTGAATTAAACAGGGGTTACACTTTTCCACAAACAAAAACCCTAGCAGGACTTTATTATTCCAGGATTTTTGCATGAAAAAAATAAAGTAAGAGAGAAAAAGTAAAGAAAATGTGTTGATTAAAGGCAGCAGCTGTTACTCAGTGTTAAGATGATGTGAAGAGCTTCTTTAAATTTAAGCTTCTAACAGACGCTGCTGAAGTGTTTGATCCTGCACATAATGAGCAAATCACAGCAATATTTAGCCCTCAGTGAGCGCTTTACTGCAGGAACACTCATTAAATCAGTGGAACTGCGTGCAAGTGGTGACATGTGGGGTTACACTAGGAACTGTAGTGCTTATTAATACACATTAAGTCTGTTTAAATTGCGGTAATTAATAAAGAGTTACTGACTTTTATAAACAAATTAGTTTGAGTGCTGGTTACTGTTACGTGTTACTTAATAACACGTTAGTCCCACTGGTTATTTCACTGGTTATTTTGATAAATGATCCAACAAATTAAATATAGTTTTCATTTACCCGCAAGCTGACTTCTTAGGGATTCCGATTCGTTCATTAAGGATGTGCACTGTTCCTCCTTCTTACCAAGCTTCTCAAGTGTTTCTGCAAAAAAAAAAAAAAAACAGGAATTTTTTTTATTTTTAAATCAAGCAAACATAAAAAAGGACAAGCTATAAATTGTTCATATTAATACATTACCTTGCATTGTTTGAGCCGATTTATTCAGCTCTTCTGTGCTGACCAGCAGCCTCTGACTCTGTAGAATAGAAGTACTTGGTTTTCATGTCATGATGCAAGACAGAAGTGCAGTAAGAAGACAATATAGTTGAAAAACAGATAAAAGATGTTTAAAGGAACATAAACACTGGGCTTTAAACCTCACCAGGCTTTCAATCTCTTTGCTCATGCTTTCCTTCTGCTGTTTGAGTGCAGTCAGAGTTTCCTGTAAGGATGCGACTTCCTGTTCTTTATTCTCCAGCTGAGAGCTCAGTTCACCAACCTGCAGTAAAAGTAAAACATTTCAGTAATTATAAAAGAAAGAGTATTTTATTATAACGATTATGCAACATTACAGACCTTTGCTCCGTTGCTTTCTCCTTGGTTCTGGAGCTCCTCTAACCGACTCTTCAGAGCCGCACATTCCTGGTTACTTTGTGCTAACTGGTTGCGTAGAGACGCCATTTCTCCCTGTTTCTCTTTGGTTTCTGTGTCCTTGTCCTGAAACTGTTGTGCCAACTTGGCTTCTTGTTCCTCAAGCTCTTTCACCCTGATTTCGGCAGCATGAAGTTTCCCAAGGACATCTTCCATCTCCACCAGGTGCTGCTCCTCTACTTTCTCAACACTGGACCGCAGCGACTCTTCCAGTCGCTCCTTCTCCTCGGTCACAGCTGACAGCTGAGCCTTCAGGGCCTGCACTGTCTCGGTCAAAGCTGAGGCATTGGCTTTGTGTTTGGCTGCAGCTTCTTCTAAAGCTAATCTATGCTCTAACTTAAGCTTTTCCAGAGCACTTTTGGTTTCTGCAAGCTCTTCCATCTGAGCACCTGCACCTTGGCTGTAGGACACTTTCAGCTCATCCATGGCCTGCTGGGAAGAAGCAACGGTAGCTTCTAGTTTTGAACGCCATAGTTCAACAGTATCAGCATTGTCCTTCTCTGCTTGGCTTAAGCGCATCTGTAGCTGCTCCTTTTCACTGGACAGCAGTACACATGTGGCCTGAAGCTGGGCGACTGCCTCACTGTGGGCCTTTTCTTGAGCTTCAAGCTTTTCTTTATATTTCTCCATCTCCTCTTTCTGTTTAGTTTCTTGTGCTGAAAGCTGATCCCTAAGAGAGTTTATCTCTTCCAACAGTGGAGACAGGGTGGCGTTTGAGTCCTCAGAGTTCTGCTGCATCCCCAGACGCAGCTGCAGGTCAGCTACTTCTCTTGTGCGCAGCGAAAGGTCTCGTTCGAGTTCCATAATACGGGATCTTTCAGACACTGTGGCAACCTTAAAATGCAGAAATTTATTATTTGCAACCAGGTTCTACTCAACTATCTAAAATAAAACAAAAAAAAAGCATAAATTGAGACAAAAACTAATGGGTGGCTGATAAATTGATGAGTAAATAACATTAAAAACCAAGTGGAGAAACTAATCGAATTGTAAAAGAGATATATACAAACCTTTGGTCACGCAAAAGAGCAATATACTGACCCCTGCTGGTTAAAAGACAGTTTAAATAAAGTTTTAGGTCAAATTAGATTAATTAACATACATTTTGATGATTGTGGCTTAAAGATAAACAAAACTTAAAACTAAAAGGTTCTCAGAAAGTTGGAACATCAAAACCAATTTAAGAAACACAAAAGTAATCATTGTATCAACAAAGCCAATCAGGGAATCTGCTGAGGTGTAATGGAAGCCAAGGTTGCTTTAAAGCAACTTTCAGGGCAGTTGGTGGATCTGGCCTCTCAGATCTTTTTGTTTTTGGCAATACTCTAAAGTTTCTCTATAGGATTTAGATTGGGAGTGTTTGCTCTCAACCGAAGGATAGTTTTGAATAAACCAGGTATGGATACCCTTACTGTAGCAACCTGGAAGGTACCAAATCCGTCTGAGAACCAAAGCAGCATCTCCTCACAGGTTGCTAGCTCTATCCCCCGACTAATAATAAAATGTAAAATTTGTTTAAAATGAAAATCTGGGTGTAAATAATCCATATGAGTTAGGACACAGAATTTACAAGAGAAACACTTGTATTTTTCAGGCATAAAGCAAAAATAAGTTTCTGCTGTCATTTTAATCTCAATACATATCTTTGATGTAAAAGGAAAAAAATAATAAAACCATTGTTTTACAGCAGAAGTAAAAAAACATCTCCACTGGCCTCCTTCGCATACTTTCCCACTTACTTTGGTTTTAACAGATGACGCCCTCTTTTTAGAATTAATGTAATATCTAGATAAAATCCCATGATGACTAGAATTTAGTAACCTGACAACAGCCAGATGCATGTCTCGCTCCGCCTAGCTCCACTCACATACATCTGGGAACCCGCCATAGGAATTGCCTTTACTGAAGGCTGGGCCTTATCAAAACTCCTTGCATATGATTGGATAAGCCACTTGTCTGTCATCTTTATTGACGTGCTATTTCAACCACTCACACCGAAGCTAACCCGTGACGCTGTGAGAGGAGGAGCCATTTGGTAGATCAAGCTCTTGCCAAATCCGGTCGGGAAAAGAGCGAAAACATCGTTTCCACCAACAAAAGCTGATGAAACAATATCAGATAGATTGGACAACACAGAAGAAATAGCAGCATCAATGCTAACGCTTGCTTCCTCAATGCGAGCCGCCATTGTTGTTGGAATCTCACGGTCGCTTCTCCACTCCAGGACACACCCACCCTGCGTCCTGATTGGACAGACCATAAATTCGGTTGGGGAAATCACTTTCAATGAGCGGGTTCCCAGATGTATGTGAGTGGAGCTGGGCGGAGCGAGACATGCATCTGGCTGTTGTCAGGTTAAGAATTTAGAGCGTCTCATGACTTTAATCCCATGAAGGAGTACCAGGATGCAGAGTCGGGGGAGTAGAGCAGATTTTAGACTAGCAAAACGTTGGGACACTAGATAAGCAGGACAAATGGATGCCAGGAAGGACTGGAGGACTACAACGTGGGACATCTGGGGAGATGATTTGTTGAGGAGACAGGGAAAGATTGTCTGTCTGGTTAAGCAGCAATATTGGAAAAGCATTGGATCATGCTGGGCAGCTTGTTGAAAACTAGAGAATTAGATTAACTATTAAAAGAAGTTTCAATTTGAGTGAAGAGATTGTCTAAACTTGAACAAATGGTATCGTTTTAAGTCCTGATAAGCTACAGTTAACCATCAATGGCCGCTTTACTACATACTTAAGATAAACTGCTGGTTAACTCACATGGCATGGTTGCTGGTGGCAGACAGACTGATCCAAGCATGTCAGGAAACTGCTTATCTTCCCTATTTCCACACAAAAATATCTCTTAAACTCTCCAATATGGAAAAATATGAGATTATGGAGTTCAAGACGGATGTAGGTGAAATAATCCATCATAGAAGCATGCAGAAAAGGCAACAATAGCTCTAATAACTCCTAGTAACAACCAAGGTTGCCTAATATGATCTTCTGAAACACATTTCATCAAACCTTCAGCTGATGAAAAAAAACATTTGTGTCAGCTAAGAACAGTAAATTAAGGCTGTAAGGACACCTAAAAAGTACAATAATGGATAAGAAGCACATTACATGACCTGATGTATTGTTTTTGGTCATCTGTTTTCCTCTTCTAATAGCTTCATCCAGCAGGACAATGCACCATATCGCAAACTTCATATCATTTTTGATATACCGACCATGACAATGAGTTCCACAGAATCCAATGGTCTCCACAGCTTATAATAATAATAATGAAACTTTATTGATTTCAAATTGGAGAGATTTGCCACTGCATTTTGACCCATCCCCTTGGGGAGCAGTGAGCTGCCATTGTGTGGCACCCAGGGAGCAGTGTGGGGTTAAGGGTTTTGCTCAGGAACCCAGACTGGAGGCTGTGGGGGTCAAACTGGGTACAAGAAACCTCCTCAGATCCCAGGCGCACTGCTCTAATCCACTGCTTCGAGTCAGCCAAAACACCATTTGAAATTAGGTAGAACGTTAGATTCACATGCAGGATGACACTTTGTGATGCCCTCATGTCATCAGAACTAAGAAACAAATCTCTGAGGAACGTGTCTAACATCTTGTTGAAGCTATGCCGTGAGGAATTAAGGCAGATGTACCTAATAAAGTGGCCATTGATGCTCAACTTAAAACATCAGCTGATCTCTACAGGTATAATATTTAAACTGGCTTGGTGTTAGTTTGCTCTGTGTACCCGTTTCAGGCCCTCCTTCCCAAAGCAGAAACCCCGTCCCCAAGCAGAATTCATTACCCTAGTGTCTTCTAACTCTCTTTGGAGTTTCTCAGCTTTGGTCTTTTCAAAGAGCAGGCTCTGTTCAAGCTCCTTAATGTGGGCATGCTCCAGTCTGGTCTGCGTCTGTTAGTAAACAAGGAGAGGAAGAGAACACACCAGTGCCACCATCACATGCCAGCCCAACGCAGACAGAGAGGGAGAGGGGGACAGGAGAGACAACTGAGTGAGTGGTGGTTGTGTTTGGTGAGTTGGACTCAAAGGTCTGGGAATGGGCTCTGGGACGGTGTGGTATGTTGGAAATGGGTGAAAACCACATGCGGGAATTTAAAGCTGTGTCAAAATGGCTGAAAAAAACAAACAAACAGGCACTTCTTATAAATGGGTAATGCCGAATATACACAACAAGCATGTTTTATGGGTGTGCAGGATAAGCATAGAGGTGAGTATGTAGAAGACAGTTATAAAAGCAACCATGCAAAACTGACACCTGGTGAATAAAGCAAACAGTTATGATTAACAAACAATGGTCATATGTATCAAACCAATGCAAATATTAGGCGTAATGGCTTTTAAAAAGCATGGAGAGAAAGCAGGAATGGACAATGTCGTACCGAAGTGTAAGTTTACAAAGAATCATGTCCTGTTACAACCACAAACCTTCATGTTCTTTGATCTGTTTAAACTGTCGCTCCCAAAATCAAGTCCTGTAAAACCACTGTTGTCAATTCTAGCCCAAGTTATTCCAACTGAATAATCGATGGAGCTAAATACAGAAAATCCTAGAGGAGAACCTGTCAGAGATAATGTGAAGCTGGGGTCACAGTTTTCCTTCTTGTAGGTCAACAATAATCTCTGCTCCAGCAAACTTTATTCGCATTTCTGCATCACCTCAGCTTGCAACAAACGTGCAGACACAGTTAACCACTCATTTATCTAAATCAGATGTATGACGTCCAGAAAACACAACACAAAGGAGAAAGGGCCCTGAGGACAAAAACCGAGAACTAGTGGCTTTGAACAAACCACATTTATACATCATTGCCCAGTCAAAGTTGAGTCCTATATTCATTTGGAAATCTATAACTCAGGATCCAGTCTGCCTGAGCTGGAGTCATTATACATAGATGAACAGAAAATGTCCAAAAAGACTAAAATTGAATCATTTCTAGAGCAAAACATTAAATTTGTGGTTGAACAATGACAAAACATGAAAAAGCTTAAGGCTTATGAATCCTTTTGCAAGGTGCGATATTGTAATGTATATTAACATTTTCACCCATTATGATGGTGCAAAAGTGTTGAATTGATACTAGTACTGCTTTCTCTCCTAGTATATAAGGCCATTACTTTATCTGTGAATAGTGAGTAATCTCATAAGAAACAAGCAGTTATTCTGCCACCGTGTGAAAGAGCAGTGACTAATATATCCCGTTGCAAAAGAGAAATACTTTTGGATTATGACACAGAAGTTCGATTTTATTTAGAATGGCATGAAATGAATAAATTATTTTATGCAAAGGAAATACTTCAGTGTTTCTTTCTTACAAACTTTAACTTTCACATTGAAAATGAATATGGAACCAATTCTAAATAATCAATTTCCTGTGCAATGTTGAATTAGTCTGAAACAATAACCATCTGTAAAGCTAAAGTCTGGAATCCAGTCATATGTAAAGAACGAAGTAGGAAAATGTGATTTTTAAGGTTTTTTCCTTCAGGGGACCTACAATCATAATATAGTGTGCAAATCAAACTAAGAAAACATTCCATTGGAACCACTGAGGCAAGTGTGATTCTGCTTTGGCTACAGAGCGTGGACGGATTCAGGTCTGTGGCTGACTGTGGAGTGAAGTGGATAAGGGAGCATCCAGTGATTTCATGCTGAGCACTGGAGCAACATGAAAGACGAGGATGGGAGGCAAGAACAAGTAATAAGGTCAGATCACTTGACAGGAAGGCACGGAAAATTACAGCTGAGCATTAGTATAAATGGTAACAGCTTTAATTTAAAAGTGCTTTAGTTTGGCCTTGTTCATTTTCTGCATTTCAAGCTGCATGCATTTTTCAGTGAAGGATAAAAGGGGATTTCTAACCCTGTTGCTTTCTCTTTTAACCTCTAATTCAAGCTTGGATTGCCTCTGGATAGTTAACATTCTCTGTAGTGCTGCAAAATAAATGCATTCTTTGATCAGATATAAAAAACACAGAAAACTCCGGGCTGCTTTACTTTGTCGGCAATGTCCTCTAAAGTTGCTGTAACGATAACAGACCCCTCAGTGGAACACTAATAAGATCACGGCTGAAAATGGCAGATTTAGGTCAGTTAATTGAGATCAGGTTATTTGACCACTTCCTGCTTTAAGCATTGTAACAAAAAGAAAAAACTCAACTTGCGTTCCATTTAGTCATTTAGTGCATCTGACTAAAGATCAGCTTAGAATGTGATAAAGATTGCATCTAACTGTCCTTTCAAATTAGCTAAAGGAAGTTCAAAGCAGACATGTTTTACTGATAAGAGCCAATGCAAATGAATTGAACTAGACTGCAGCTCTGTGACAAAGGGTGCTGGGTAATCGTATCACAGTGAACATACTTAAGAGGAGAGATACAATTAACTTTTTAGAATCAAGAAATTAGGTGCCATTCTATGTAAGTGAAGATAATGAGTTGAAACTAGAATTCAAGTTAGAGCATTGGCTATTGTTATATTTAGGTTAAAATTTGAATTAGCTGGATATGACAAAATAGACATATTCTTGCAATGTTTTTATTGGACATATTGGACTTTTATTTGCTGAAGTAAAGATGTGAGTTCTACATTTACCTCCAGGTCTCCTTTGGTAATGCAAGCTTCCTCTACTCGAAACTGAAGATCCTCCACTTTCCTAAAAAACAGACATTATGAACTACAGAAACAATGCTCCATGTGAAGGTGCGTTTATCTCAGACGCTGCTCTTACCTGCGCTCTTCCTCCAGTTGGTTTAGCAGCTCTACTTTCTCCTTGTCTGCAGCTTCCACCAAGGAACGCAGCTGATCCATTTTTGCCTCCATCTTCACAAACAAAGAAGAGCCTTAATGGTGGCTGTGAAACGGTTTATAGAAACAAATGTCAGATAGTATATTGTGGTGTGAGCAGACCTGTTCTTGATCTTCCCTTAGGAGGCTGATCTCTTGCTGCATCTCGCCTACATGGCTGTTGGCCTTCGCCACCTCGGCTCTTTCCATGTCCCTCTCACCCATTAGCTGCTCAATATGCTGCTGCTTCTCCTTCAGGGCCTCCTGCAGCGCTGTGGTGCCGGAAATCTTCCGATTATACCTTGATGACGTTTCAGTGAGCTGTTCAAACAGAAAAACTAGCATGACTACACCGCTAGGAGCAGAATAATGCTTGTCTATCACAGCCAAACATCGGTGCTAATGTACTGATGTCTCACCAGGCCTGTACGGCTCGGCTTGGTGCTAACAGAAGATGCCACTGAGCTCATGGTACTGATTGAAGAGGCGCTGGGGCTTCTCTTCAGCCCCGACGGTGTGGCCACAACTTTTCGAGCCGTCGTTTTTGCTTTAGCTGGGGTCGTGGAGGGGAAGCCAATGCGTGTGACTTTATGAACTGGAGCAAATAAGCCATATTTAGGTTGGCACTGAAAATATCTAGAGAAAAAGAAAAGAAAAGAAGTGTAAATTTGGGGTTAAAATTATTTGGATTACTAAGCGATGTGGCCTTCATACCTGGTGCCAGCCACTGCCCCGTCATTCTTTCCAAGAGGTTCATCCAGCTCCACGCCGCACCACTCGCCTTTAGCAAAGTCCGTTTCTCCAAGGAAACGCACCACTCCTGCCTTTGTGCCGCCGACCTGAGAGGAAAACACCAAAACACTGGCAACATAATCCTCTCATCAAATAAGCATAAAAAGCAATCCGCTTTCCCTGCTAATAAGAGCTCCCACCATAAAAGCAACAGAAACATGTTTAAGCTGGAAACTAGAAGCTCCAATTATAAACTATGGAAACAAACTGATTTTTCCTTTAATTGCTTAAAGTTAATAACTAAATAAATCACAGCTGTGAAATCACCAGAAGCTATATTTGGTGATGGAAGGAATACATTTCCTCTGCAGCCTCACTGCATGAGCAATACTTCCTGTTAGCACAGCATGCAAAACAGCCTTCAGGCTGCAGCGAGGGAAAGAAAAAGGGAATTTGTAAGGAGGGAGGAAGGTGCTCATCAGCTCTTAATTAGGCTAAAAGTACAATGAAAAGACTGTGAAACATGATTCTAAAACGACTGAAAAGTGTTAGACGGGAAGATGCAATTCAATGCAGTTCAATGAGTCATGTGACTTTAGGTTTACCAACCATGCAAACAGACAGTGAAACAAACTTTACCAGCACACGGTCGCCCATCTTCAGCTCCCTCTCCCCTTTCTTGACGGAGCCACTCTCAGACAGGTTGGAGACAGACTCGCTGTTTGTTTGCGCCAAATTAGAGGAGGCTGCAGCAGCCGGTGTGGCGGAAGAGGCTTTCTTAGTTGCTGTGGAGCTTGAGGGCACAGTTGATTTAGCAGCAGGGGTTTGAGAGGCCACGCTTCCAACTGAAGGGGTGGGTGATGCTGCACGGGATGGTGGTGCAGTCTGGGTCCCATTAGCCTCCCCTTCTGTGCGCGACAATTTGGAGGGGCGGGTAAATATCCCTCGAAGGGCTTCACACTGGAAGTAGCGCACCCCGGCCACAGACCCGTCATTCTTCCCGATCGGCTCATCGAGTACGATCCCCGCCCACTGTCCGGGAGCGAACTGCGTCTCCCCTAAAAACTGTATGTAGCCGGGCTTGTTTCCATTCACCCAGACTCGCTCCCCGATCTGGAACACGTCTTCAGCATTCTTGCCATCTCCTCCACTGCCAAGGGCCGCTGCTTTGTCAGCCACAGCAGCTTTAGCTGTGATTACAAAAAGAGATCCAAGTTTCTCCATTAATGAAATTACTGTTAACAATTAAAGAGAAAAGGCTTGTTCAGTCCTTTAGGCATTTTCTGCCAATTCTTATCTAGGATTGACAGGCCTAATACTGAAAAATAAAATATCCCAACAAATAGCTAACCTACTCTCCAGGAGCATATACTTTGGTGCATTTTTCTTCCTCAGTAAAATGAAGATAAAGCTTAAGGACACATGCTTTTCTATGTAACTAAGGAAAATCTTACAATTCCTTTTTTCTATTTGATTCTAAAATGCTTAATCAATCAAGGAAAATGCTGGTTCTTTTTGCATATGTTTGCATTATATCTCTAAGAAAAATAGATCCTTTGCAAGATCTCGCAAAAGCAAACAATCAGTACAAACATTTTAAACCACAGTTGTTGGTTTAAAATGTTTTCATCAAGTATTTGACCTTAAGAAACACAAGAAAACTAACCTACTGTTAAAATTCAAGGTTCTGGCTTACAATAAAAAAAAAAAAAAAAAACTCTAAATGATGTAACAAAAACAATTCACAGGCATAAGATTCCTCACAAAAAAAAAATCTATTATATCATCCAGACAAAACTTAGCAACAGAGTATCAATCATACTTCAAACCCAGTAAGCATAATTTCACTGATCAATATTTCCCACTCTACCTGTGGGTGGGTTGGTCTTCGGGGCTCCAGTTCCTTGTGCCCTTGCTATCTTGCTAGGGGCTTTGATCCCAGTGGGCTTGGCTGTGCTCATATTTCCAGCAGTGATCCGACCCACAAAGCTTATGTCTTTCTGTGGGTGCAGGTTGACTCCAAAGCATCAAAAGATAAAGCCGCTTTCTCCACACAAAATGAAGGGAGTAAATAAAACAAAAAAAAAAAACAAAAAAAAAAGGAGGAAAAGGGAAAAGGGAGGAAAAGTTATGCTTACAAAAAGGGACCCTGTTGAGAAGGAGACACAAAAATCAAGTTTTTTTTTATTAAAGAGAAGGTGTAGAAACATGGATGAATAATTAACCAGGATTAGTCCTTTAAAAAAAGAATATCCAACAGCAAAAAGAAATATCATCAAGTTACTGTCAGTAGCTTTGATTGTAGCACTCTAACAGAAGCATAGTGTCTATTATCAACAGACTTCTCAGAACACACAGTCATGGATCTAAAAATACCCGTCAGAAAGGCCAGCCGATACGCAGCCTTTGGTAAAGGCATCATGAACTTTGGCTCCCTTCAACATGTGACAGTGCTGAGAAAAACCTCTGATCCAGAATTACACTCTCACTCAATCACTCTGCTGTCTAAAACCCATGTACAGATCGCTGGCGTGTTTTTTTAAGCAGGATTACAGATGAAACACGACCACCACATCATCATCAGCAGCAGATTAATCCCGTTTGTTGGAAACAGCAGACACTTAACAGAGGACAGCTCTGCCACAACCTCTGCTATCACCAGTGCTAGTTTAAAACATGAATTCCCGTTCCTGGAAGAACAACACACAAAACAAACCTATCAACATGTTGATTTTCGAGAGCTTTCATCACTATTCCAGCCTATGTTTACTTTACAATGACACCAATATGGCAGAACAGGTGGACAGAAAAAGGGAAGGTGAAGTGTGGTTGATGTTCCTGATGATGAAAGAGTGAAAGCTAAACAAACATGAAACAAAGCTGAGCAGAACAATATAGTATTTTACAGCATATGGTGGTTTAGAAACAAACTAAATTGATTCGTCTCAATATCAAAAGGGAAAGCTATGCCTACAGACTCATGGGAAGTACAACAGTCGCTGAGACCACAGAAATTCTGGGTTGGACTCGTTTAGCTGGATAACGTAAAGAGATACAAAGAGCCCTCAAAGAGATACAGTAATGGTTAAAACAATAAAAAAGGAGCGGTGATGGGTGGAGACCAAAGAACAGACGGAAAACACGTGAAGGTTGGAAGAAGCAACTGTGGATTGGGATGTCTGGGCTGTGCTCCATCATGCAGCACAGGCAGAAAAAATAAAATGTTGGATAGAATAAAGAGAAGCTCTTAAACCCCCCCACACACAGGAAGAAAGGACAGCCATCCACAAGCATGACTTGGTCTGAATGCAGTGTTCCAGTTTTCTTTTTAGGCTTCATGAGTGATCCTCATCACTCCAAAAGGAGGCCAGAGCGAGAGAGTGAGTGCCTGGTTTTCTGTTAACAAATATCTTTTCATCTAGCTGAAATAAAAGTGACATTTTGAATGAACAATTGCATCAGTTCCGTTAATATCCAACACCTCCCTAATTTTTCAAGGCGGCATTTTAGCTGTGATCGGTAAGCGGATGAGGTCGACTACAGATGATCCACTTAGGCTGAAAATTCTCCCAGTAATGGTAATCTTTTGCCTCTGACTCACGGTCTAATCTGCAGCTTGAACCGAAGCCAAATTCCAATGCTTTGCATTTAAAGAGACTAATAAAAACAAACAAAGGAAGGTCAAACATCACATTTTCTTAGCCAAAACACCTACAAATCTAAAGAAAATATCTTTTCTCTTAGATTTAAAGGAAGCAGCTGCCCATACAAAAGCATTCTTTCAACTCTGCTAAATTCATTAAACAAATTACTACTCTATAAACATTCCTCCTGCACGTTCACACACAATATACCGAATGTATATGTACCAAAGCCAAAAGGAGAGTATTTGACTGCAGCTGCAGTCTGATTAGCAGTATCTGAACCTTCCCCTCCAGCCGCCACAACCCACTATTCCTCTCAGACTTTATAAACTACCATGCAAATTCTCACTTTCTGTACTCAGCTCTTTGGAGTCCATTGTTTTATGAACTGTTGACCGCTCCAGCATTCCAAAGTTAATGTTATCACTCTTTTTTCCAACTTTTTTCTGGGATTTCTGCTGTTAAATTGGCTGCATTTTGCAATACATTTTTTTTCTTTTTACTATGACATGAAAAACATTACAGAACAAATCTGAAGCCAACTAACTAAGTGTGAAGATGTTCTGTATTTAAAACAGTTTTTCTGACCAGGAGAATCTCAATAAAAAAAAAAAAAAAAAAACTGTAGTTTGCAAAGCAGAACTGAAATCCCTAAAGGGCAGAACTATCAAACCAAACTTCTGTTTTCACTCTGGCAGTCTGTATGTTTAAAGTGAGGGAACTAAACATCGTTTCTACTCATTTTTAAAAACAATTTTAAATACATAGTTTAAAAATAAGCATTTCCTTTTGCCTGATTTGAGAGTTGAAATATGTTACACAAACCAGTAGGCTTTCATTCCACAGTGTCTTTCAGTGGGTTAATATTAGCCTGTGACTTAACAAAAAAGCAACCAAGTATAGCAGGTTCACATGCGTGAGCCAGGTCCCCTCTGCTACCTCACATAAGGCAGACACTATTATTACAGTTCAGTTTCCACAAAAACAGATTCTGAAACATCACACACTCCTTGCTTTTGTTAACACAAGGCGAAGGGAAACTGTAGCTCTTCATCAGCAAAAAAACATCTGCTGGGATGATTACATAGGCCCCTGCTGGCAATGATATAGAAGGTATAGAAAAAAGAGGGAGAAGCAGCGGAAACTGAGATTTTGAGTCTTCCATTTGAGGAGGCAGATTCAGTGATTAGGAAATCAACGATCTACCCCAGAATAGGTTTAATATTTCTATGTGTAAATCCCATTATTGTCCCACAATGGGGAAATCAACCAATCCCCTTGGGGAGCAGTGGGCTGCCATTGTGTGGAGTTAAAGGAATAGTACACCCAAAACATGATTAGCCTTCATTTTCTACTCACCCCCATGCTGAACAACACCCTGGAGTACTTTTTTGATATCTCAAATGCATCTGGAGATCTGGGAGGCTTCTTGCTGTCTGCTGACATTCAAATAATGGAGGTCTACGGTGCCCGAGACAGAAAGGTCCATAAAAGTCCACAAAAAACGTGTCAATATTCCTCCATACTGCTCGTCCAATGTATTCCAAGTGTCCTGAGTGGGTAGCATCCAGAATTTACTCGAAACGAAGTCATTTAGAATGTTTTTAGAGCATAAACAGTAGTGCATAGGATTTCCTGAAAGCGCGCACATGCGCGTTCACGAGCCTACGGAAGCCGGCAGACCAAACCAGATGAAAGTGCGCATTCAGCGTCTGCTCTGCCAATAATGCAAGCGTAGAAGAAGAAATGTGCTGTTTACCTGTGCAAAGAAAGAAACAACGAAAGAAAAATGTCTTAGGACTTCAGTGTTGAGGAAGAGCATGAGTTATTTGCTGAGCTGAATGCGCTGGTTTGGTCTGCCGGCTTCCATAGGCTCGTGAACGTGCATGTGCGCGCTTTCAGGAAATCCTATACACTACTGTTTATGCTCTAAAAACATTCTAAATGACTTCGTTTCGAGTAAATTCTGGATGCTACCCACTCAGGACACTTGGAATACATTGGACGAGCAGTATGGAGGAATATTGACACGTTTTTTGTGGACTTTTATGGACCTTTCTGTCTCGGGCACCATAGACCTCCATTATTTGAATGTCAGCAGACAGCAAGAAGCCTCCCAGATCTCCAGATGCATTTGAGATATCAAAAAAGTACTCCAGAGTGTTGTTCAGCATGGGGGTGAGTAGAAAATGAAGGCTAATCATGTTTTGGGTGTACTATTCCTTTAAGGGAGACCCAGAGTTGAGGCTGTGGGGTTTGAACCAGGTACTTGCAACCTTCTCAGAGCACAAGCGACCACCAGACCAACGCTCCCCTATCCTAGGCCTAATACAGATTGTGACCAAAGCCATAACACCTATATTTTTGGAGAGAAAAAAAAGTTTTTATTGGGAAGATATATACTCCTTAAGATTAAAAACTAATCGGTACTGACAAATGTCCACAATAACTCCTTGCAGAAAAACCAATGATCCTAAACTGGCAAAACACACACTGCAGCTCTAATAAATCAGATCATAAATAAAACTAAGAACCATGATAGGCGAACACAGACCTTTAAACTGCAACACGTGCGGATCTAAAGTCCAGCATACGGCTGATTTAGTGATGCGTTACAGTCAAACGAAGCAATGTTTCCACAATAAAGGTTTTATTTTGGATCAAACACGTGAAGCATTAGCATAACTCGCTCAGAAACCTCAGTGGCTGAAGCTAACGGATTAGGATCTGACGATGAGGTGGCACATCTGGAACAGATGATGCCACTATATCGCCTAACCTAAGGTCTCGTTAAACAGTTTGTTTAAGAGGATGTAGAAAAAAAGGCCAGAGGCGAGTAAATAAAATCGCACAAGTCTAAAAGACTCCGCAATGTCAGCGAAGATCCAGACAGGAGGACTGCTGCTGTCACAAGTTGAGCCTCGAAATGACCGACAGCTAGTTAGGATCACCAGTGTGGATAGTTCAGCAGTCTGTTGACTAAACCAATCCCTCATTGGTTAATCTGAATCCACGATCTGAACTCCAGGTGAGAACATACGTGATTAGTTACTAAATGACGTTTAGGCCCGAACAGTACGAGCCGGTGGTCGGAAGGGCTCTTAGCTACTTAGCTAAACTAACACCTTCAGTAAAGTCAACAGCACCTGACCAACTTTTTCTTAGTGTGACCTTTCCTGCTAATACACTAAGACACCAAAACGGATCCAGACAAACGCGAATATGAAGGGCGTTGGCGTAATTTACTACAGACCTGATACGTTCCCACGCCAGGCTCCGTCTTCAGGAGAAAAAAAAATATGTGATCTAGCTGGTTAGCTAGCTGAAGTAGAAAACGAAGACTGCTCTGATCCCGCACGAGCGGCCAGCCTGTCCAACCAATGGCAGACAGGAACGTCAGGGCGGGGACTTCGCAAAGATCTTCTATTCAAGGACGAACACTCACTTCGGAGATATCGATGCACCAATTCAACACGTAAATAAGACTTTAAAATCATTAATATCATGAGTTAAGTAAATAAAGAAATAAATACAAAAATAATAATAATAAATAAATATGTATATTTTTTATTTATAAAAAATATATATTTTTTTATAAATAAAAAATGTATATTTATACTAATACTTTAATAATCATTTGATGAAAATAACAAAAAAATAACAATATACCGAATTTTTTACAAGCATATAAAATTGATGCGTTTACTCTAATTAATAATAATTAATAATTCTATAAACTTACTTTGCAGTTTGTTCTGACTTTACTTGTGAGCCTCCCAAAAGTAAGTCAGTAGGTGAGGCTGCCTGCAATAGAATAGAATAGAATAAAATAGAATAGAATAAATAAGAATACAATAGAAATAGAATAGAATACAATAGAAATAGAATAGAATAATGCCTTTATTGTCCCACGATGGGGAAATTCTGGTGTTTACAGCAGCAAAAACATTATAGAAAAAATGGTCTCACAAATTTGGACCTTAAAAAATGTATAAGAATAACATATTAGTGAGGAGTTAAAAGATAAACTATAGACAGGCTGATCATCATCCTGCTTCATTCTCTCTCTATTCTCCTATTCTGCAGAATCTGTTAGTTCAATCTCTGACGTTCTGCTCTTTCTGCTTTTCCTCAGAGTAGCTTTGCCTCGTCTGTTCCTGTTTGGCTGTGACGTCATCCTGGAGAGAAATATCAGCTGTGCTGCTTCCATCAACACCCTTGTTTATAGATGCTGGAGATCGGCCTGTTTCCAGTGTGGTCCTGTGTCTCTGACCGTGCCTGGCTGGATGTGCTCTCTTCGTCCTCTGGCATGGGAGCTGGCTCAGAGTTCGTCTGCCTGGCTGTGTGTTTCCTGGACGGGGCCGCCTTTTGCAGCTGCTTTTTGTATCTCTGCTTCTGTCTCCTTGAACCCCAGTCGGCCTCAGCAGATGGCCGCTCATACTGAGCCTGGTTCTGCTGGAGGTTTCTTCCTGTTAAAAGGGAGTTTTTCCTCTCCACTGTCACTACAAGCATGCTTAGTGTGAGGGATTGTATTCGAGTCAATGAGTCGATGTAATCAACTGGTTTTTCTTAGATAGAAACCTTTTAATCAATTTGACTGGATGATCTGGTTGAACTGTAAAGTGCCTTGAGATGAATTTGGCGCTATATAAATAAACTGAATTGCTATGCAGTCAGGCGTGTGTGTACATGTTAACCAATTAGGTGTGATGGAAAGAAAGAAAATATATAATGGTTTGTTCCAGTAATTATTTATTTTTTTCCACATTTGATTATTCAACCATGAATTTTATAAATTAGAATCTGTCGTAACATCTAGAGATAATGCAGTTAAATAAATCTAGTATATTTATGTAACTGTTGACTCATCAATATAATTTTAATTTATATGTAATGAAGGCTATTTATTTTGTTTCAGTTTAACTCATTAAGTACTTAAGTAATACATATATAAATATTTTTATATAATTTCTTTTAAGCTTGGTTTTAAATTCTAACTTTCTAAAACGTTCTTTCAGATTTATTTACAACTTTCCTTATCCCTTATTTAAACAATTTGTTGTCTTTTTTTTAGATTGATAGATTCATTGTAGAGACAGGGTAGAAGCACGGATAAATTTAAAGAGCAACATAGATATAAAACAATAATATCTCTGATTGGAAACAGTACATGTGTATAAATAAAGCCAAAGTATTATCCTAGGAAGATTGCATGGCATTTTGACAATTGAGAAAAATAATTTTACAGAAAATGACGAGGCCCTTATTGTAGATGTATAAAGTAGTTTTTGTTTTTACAGGGGAGTTGGTTGGGTATCTATGTTGTTACAATAATTTTTGATTGACACACATTTTTATACAAATTGGAGAAATGCCCCCCTGTTTGTTTTGAGTTAGATTATTTAATCACCAATGAGAATAGCTTTAAAAATACTGAATTTAGTTTAATTGCATTTCTGAATTGTTTGGATCTGTGTTGGCTACTATACAAATTTAACAGAAGTATGAATCAATTAAATTATAAATTCTTCTTCCATCCTATCATTTGAATAACATATATTACTCTCCTTAAGGTACAGACTAACCATAAATCTGGAAGCAGATCATTTTGGCCACCCAAAAAAAGGCTTTTTATTTTTTAAGTTACCACAAATACTTCCAAACCGGAGACCAGGTGAAAGGCCCAGAACTGGGACTATATGTTGTATCCATTATTGGGTGGGTATCCCTTTAGGTCCCCCTAAAACAGGGGTCACCATCCTTTTTAGGGCTGAGGGCTACTTCATCGGTACTAACTCATAAGGGCTACCAATATTGACCTATGAACTGGAGGGATCAGTGTTCACCTTAACTTCTTTTATCTCCTATTTTTCTTTATATTGTTTTTTTGAAATCTCTATAAATGCTTAAATACTCTGTAGGATTAAAATGATTAAATTCTCTATAAAAGATTGAAAAGAATAAAATTTTAATCTTCAAGCCCCCTGGTGAGTTGTGCCATTTTCAGAAGATGCTGAAGGCAGCCCATGAGGCCCCTGAGGGCCCCTTGTTGGCCCCATGTTGGTGCCACCTGCCCTAAAATGTGGTCTGGTGATCCTTGTACGAGAATTATCTCAACTGGTAAAATGCTGAAAACCGCCTCCATGAAGCATGCCAAGTACGGCTCGTCTTCAAGTTTCTGTGCCTGCAAGCTTTTATTAGCTCTGGCAAAACAAGTAAAATAAAATAAATGCAGAGACTACAGTCATGGCTATTTAAGATCTTTAAAGCAATCCCAATTTGACAAGTCACTTAAACATGACCGTATAAAAATCAAACACTATACAGATTACATACATATACAGCTTAAAAAAAAAGGGGAAAAAAAAGGGGGGGGGGTTTCTATTACATAAACTTTAGCTGTAGTCATTGTAGTCTTAAAGATAAACAGGCTAAAAACGAAAGAGAAAAAAAAGCCATATTTAGTGAAAATGAGAAATTTTAGATTAAAATTGTCCATGTGTTCTGAATCAATGCAACAAATGTCATTTTTTCTTTGCCAAGCTTCGAGGGGAACCTTTCAGCAAGTCTCTGATTCTCAGGTATGTTCCAGTGGCTTCAGCTACTTCTGTGAATTCAGGGGTATCTTCAAATGGAACAATGCCAGCTGCAAATTTGCTGCGGTGAGGAACAGCTACAACCTTCTCTGGATTCTTAGCAGAAGCGTCTCCAGCAACCTCTTCGGGGACTTCTTGATCTGGGCTTTCATGGCTCTCATCTTGGGTCCTGACGGGCTCCGGCTCTGGGCTCTGAGGACTTTCCTCCTCTACTTTTATGGGTCCAGGTGTTGCAGCTGAACCCTCTTGTACATCTGGTTCCATCTGATTTTCACTGTCATAACAGGGCTCAGGAGGTCTCACTGTATCCACTGACTCTTCGACATCTTCCATTTCAGCGTCGATGCGTGTTGGTATGGAAACACTGGGTGAACTGGGAGCAGGTGTTCCTGAAGCGGCGGTCTCGCTGTCGCTATTTGTGGCTGTGTCCGCCTTTTCTAGAGCTGCCCAGATCAACCTCTGCTGCTCCTCCAGTTCTTCCAGAGTCAGTTCATCCTCAGTTCCCTCCACGGACTCATCAGCTAGCTGCACGTTACGCCTCCGCAAAGCTGGAGAGCCGTTGGTGGGAGTTGGTGGCGGGGTACCTTTAGGGAGAGGTGGGGGAGTGGGTGTAGCAGGGGGAGTGCCCTGGGGTAAAGGAGGAGGTGAATTATAGCAAGGGGAGGCCGGAGGCAGTGGTGGTTGGAACTGGAAGTCACCAGAGGCAATTGAATAAGGTGTTCCAGGGTCTGAAAACAACATAATAAAGAAGCAATCATTTTCAGGTGAGGTATAATGCCTTTTAAGTCAGTTATAAAGAAGAGTTTAGTGAAATTTTATTCTGGAATAAAGGGCTCTTCTGTCACATTGCTACAATGAGGGATGCATAGGAAGGGGAATTAAATGTAGTGATACCTGATTCAATGTCCATATCGGAGCTTCTGTCTGAGTTAAGCTCTGGGCTGGACTTTGTCTTTTTCCTGAGATGTGGAGAGGAGTCAAACTCATGTCGCCTTTTGTTGGAGTTGCTATCAGACTGCTGACAAAAAGAAAGGGATAAATATTTTAGAGCTCAGATCAAACAGTATAGCCAATAAAGATCCTGTTTTTGGATGGGGCTCTTTAGACCCTAAACAGGGATGTTTCTCTCTTAAAAAAGATGAGAAAATAAGTTCATGTATAAAATGATTGAATGCTGTGAGAGAAATGATAGAAATTTGCATAAATTCTAATTCGGTTGAAGGTGAACAAATTAGCCAACAAAACCAAACTTTTACTACCTGTTAAGAAATACTTGGGAGGAAAGCTTAAGGAGTTTTTAACCTTAAGACTCATAGAAAATAAAAATCTAGTAGGGGGATGAACTTAGCATAATTTAAGCCATAAAAAGCTAATATTTTTCTAAGCTGGTTTGTGAAGGAATTTCATATATCATCTGCAGAGACTATGGACAACACAGGACATGTCATTTTTGATTTTCTTTTCATCCACTAATTACATGTTATATTTGCCTGAGTACGTAATTGTTGAGTTTAATGTATTTGTTTTCTGTTTGTATCTGCCCTGTGTTATGCTTATTGACCATATCATCATAAAAAAAAAGTTGTTCTCAACTCACTATCCTTCTTAATAATATTCCTTTTTCATTAACATTTTGTATCCAATCTTTTTTTTTTCCCTTTCTTAATGTCCTAAAATATATGCAAAGTAATTATTTATACAAGTGAAGTTCATTAGGTTTCCTTACATATTCATTTGTAGTAGGGAGGACAAATAAGATCAAATGAAAACCAGGTTTTAGTATTGAGCTTTATGCTTAAAGAGAGAAAAGTCATACCTTAGGAAAGTTGTTAGACAGGTAGGCGGCATAGTTTTGCTTCATGTGGCTTGTCTGCATTGGAATTGATCCGTAGTGCATAAACTCCTGGAAGTCAGACAAAAATTTTAGATATTTTTGGCAATTGCACCAGAGCTCTCCCAAATAATTTAATAAAACTCATAGGACCAGCGCAACAACAAACCCCTATGAGAGATTTCTTAAAATCTAATACTAGTCTCTCTTTGAGATAAAATAAATGTTAAGCTGAATTCAGGCCCCGCCCTCCTCTGACTGAGTATAGGGAGAGTGTCTCCCAACCTGGAGACAGGTGAAGATAATTAAAGGATCAGTTGGGAGATGTTCACTCACTAAGAAACAATGAGCACTATGAGGGTGCCTGGGTGAATGCACTGCAGGAAAGTTTGTTCCAAGGAGAAGGAGCCGGTGAGCCACAAATTATTTGAATATTTAGACTGAAATGTTAAAACATTGAGAAAAAAATATATATAAAAAAAAAAAAAAGAAAAAGAAGAAAAAAAAAAAGAGGAATCATTTAAAATGTATTTGAGAAAGTAAATGAACACTAGAATGTTAAAATGTATCACTGAATAATTCTTTGAATATGTTTGATTTTGGGTTTAAATCTTATATTTTGTTTCAGGAACAATTTTGTTTAAAGAATGTTAATCATTGTGTTTTCTGTTTATATTTAAAGGTTTTTCACCTACTACTACTACTACTACTAATACTGCTACTACTATTGTTGATTGAACTTTCAAATAAAAGACAAAAAAGGAAAGAATCAACTTTGGTGTGATGAGTGAAATCCTGTGAGATCTCTGGAAGCAAACTGCCTTTTCAAGTGGGGGAAAACTGCAGTTAAAATACCAAAAACAAAGTGTGAACCACTTGACAATAAAAGTACATTCATATAACTTTTTAACAGAAATATTCCAGTTCATTCAAAAGGGTAGCTGCTCTTCTGGAATATTTGGAATTGGTTGGAAGGAATGTTAAACGTACATCTTTTATTTGATGAGCTGCAGGTACATTAAAGCCTGGGAAATCCACCAGTTTGGAAACATCATAGGAGAGGTTTTGTGACGTGTTGCCCGTGTCCTCATTGGGTGCTAGGAGGAGGGAGAAAAAAAAAACAGACCAAGTCCAAATTTTTTGCAGCCAAATTTAAATCAATATTATGGAAAACATTATAACTAACAGTAAACATACCATTTCCATCATAAAGTGATAAGCCAGAGTTTTCCATCTCTGCCTCCTTGAGCCAACCTGGAGGGTAACCGAGGTACCTCATTCGATAAATCAGAGGAGGTAGGGTGTTGCCATCCACTCCTAGGGCTGCTAAAAGCTCCTCACTGTTTAGAAATTGAAGTACAGCAGAACTCATACATGTATACTTTGATTTTATAAAAATAGGTGGCATGTGATCATATTTTTTTTTTAGCCTTGCACAGAATTCTAATCCTACCTCAATACTCCAGGTTTGAATTTGGAAAAGCGCTCTTCCACTTCATCAGCGTGGTATCTCTGGTTGCCCTGTGTGACCTGGCTTGAGTTCTGATTAAACTCTTTTCTTCTTTCATTGATTGCAGCCATGTCTTTAGGCTAAGGAGGAGACAAAATATAAACACAGAAAATTAAGTTCTTGCTCTCTCTGTTTATGATTTCACTTGTATTCCTGCCATATTATTAACTGCAGAAGAGCACCTGGGGGCAGTCTCTGAGTTGATGGGTGCTGGAGCCACAGTTGAAACACATAGACTTTGGTCTGTGAAAATAGTTATTCAGTACAAGAAAAATTAAAGCGTCATCTGCAAAGGAACACTTCAATTTTAGAAACAATGGAAATGATATACCTTTTTTTACTTTCCATTTCCAGTCCATCTGTTCCATTAACCTGGGTAAAGACCTGCTGGTAGCTGTGCATCAATTCAGGAAGTAGTGGAACATTTATGCATCAAATATACTTCTATATGTTGATGTTTAAAAAAAAAAAAAGAATAGTGAAAAGAGTCCATTTTAGTTGTTCTATCAAGGAAAACTCTCCATTTCAAAGATACGTTGGTACATCCCATCCATCAGTCAGTTGGGGGTTTTCATTCACCAGCGGCTGTCCAAGTTTGTCAACACAGAAGGTTGAGAAATATAAAACGCTCCCAACAACCTAAGAGATAAAAAACAAAGAAATATAACATTTCCATTTTCTTTGGATCGAAGGTTCTGCCATGTGTGGAGATAAATTTAGATCCTTACTTTAAAGGCTTCTGTTGTGGTTCTCACACTACTGGAGGCCAACTTAACAGGATCTTCATCCAACTCGAAAGCAGAATTCTTAAAAAAAAAAAAAGATTAGAAGCAGTCAATATCTTCCATAATGCAGATAATTCATTGAATACAAATACAGATTAGTTGGGACTCCAAGGCTGAAACTAATGGCTATTTTAAAAGCAATACTAACTTCTGGCATCTTTAAAGAACTTCAATATCAGAAACATAACACTGGTTTAGTTTGAAAACCTTTAAGTTGTCATTTTGTTACTAGGCTGTTATTTGCAAATAAAATAATTATCCAAAAATAAATTGAGGAAGTGGTGCAACTACTACCTTTCCTGTTTTAACTGTCCAAACAATGCAAGTCACAAAGTCTTTCCTTTCAGATTAACTTACTGATGCAGTGTTGAAACTCACTAAAATTCACTGAAACCACTTTAACACTTCTTCAAATTAAACCTTGGTTTCCATACCAATCAGTGACTGATTGTGAACATTTCAGTTTTTATTTTGTGAATATATGCATTTATATCATATATATTTTTTCCCCATACTTCTTGCACAAAGCTTAACTTGTGACTTCATCTTATTACATTTGCTTTTTTCACTTTGTCAAAAATAAACAACATGGCAGAATTAAAAACCTTAAGACATACAGCTCTAAGGAGAGTAGATCCCATAGGATTTAACAGTCCCGGAAATGTAATTAGGGTTACATCCTTTTGATAATTAATTAGTTCATGACATTTTTGTCTGTTCAGCCCTGACTGCAGTCAGGAAACAACAACAAAACATATGCAAATACACAGTTATGGGCTCTCATCAGCTTTAAAAACTTAGAAATCCACATATTTAAAAATTAAGGAATTTTTTTACATTCCATAATAGTGCACCTGTAGGGCAACAATCTCACTGTTTCCATGACAAAATCCATCCAGCTGTGACAACTGTCATTAAATCCAAGCCTGGTAATGTTTTCCATAAAGACAAAGGTATATTTATATTAACTTCAGGGTGTAAAAATTATATTATCATTGTTTTATTTATTTATATTTTAAACCTTTGCTTAAATTCAACTTATATGAAGTATGGCTCAATTCATTCAAAGAAAATGACTAGCCTAAATAAAAGGATATTTGTAATTTATATGATATATGAGTTGTCTAGTACAATAAAGATATCAACTGCTTATTTCTCTTCCACGGAATAGCATTGTTTTTACATTTTTGTTCAACAAGCATTTTTTTTGCAAACAGGACATATTTTCGAGTAAATACCTGAGGTTTCATATGATACACAGATATCTTCTTATCGTTGCCTGGTTTCTGGTGCTTCAGAATGACACTACAGATGCAGTCTTCAAGTTCCTGACGGCATTGCCTTGCAGAGAAGCATTGTTTAGTACTCATGCTTGCAAACATGTCATCAGCACAGGTGCAAGTTAAACAGTTTAAAAGTACAGATAGAGACATTATCCAAATTACACAGTTAGTGGTTTCTTTTTGGTTGTTTCCCACCTCTGTGTCCTGCTAAATTATGCGACTTTTAACTTACTTTGACATAATATTGTTGGTAAAAAGGATCTGAAGAAGAGGTCCGTCGACGTTGACATCTTCCACTGTGATGCCACTGTTAAAGCAGGTAGAAATTAGCGCTGGATGGTTGTATACAGAGAGGTTTCGTTTTAACTGAAATATGAACAAACATGTTTGACTTAAAAAAAATACCTAGGTCGTGTCAAGATGCTGAGTTTGCGTCTTAATACTTTATGTGAGCTATAGGTTAAGAAAATTGAAAGAAATGCAGCAAACATAAATAGTATATTTAAACAGATCATGAGCTAGGGATAGCAAACATGCTACGTTGACACAAGGATATTCTCCTCAGAAAGTCTTTCAATTTTATCTTCACACTCTTCCAGCCTAGTGCGAAGCTGGTTCGTCTCTTTGTTTTCGTCGTCATCTTCTGTGAAACGAATGTGCCTTGAGACGGGCGGTTCAGAATCCTCCAATTGTTGGAAAAGCTCACTGTCTCCGAAATCCACCTCGGCCATTTTTAGTCTTTCGGCGCTAACGGAAGTTGAGCTCTGTAAGGGCCTTCCTTTCTGCCTATTGGTCAATGTCCCGTCACGTGTTGCGGAAGTTTGTTCGATCTTTCTTTTTTTTTAATCCCACAGTCTAGTCTTCTAGGCTAGAAGTCATCGGAGGTGAAACAATCCTTTTTTACATTAAATTGGAAGTTTGCTTTTTCTGTTGTGTTCCTTGTTTAATATACCACCGTTTTCAAAGAAATATTTTACAGCAAAACTCGTATAATCAAATATCACATTGTTTCACTATTATCTCGGTCATCAGAATAACATTTTAATACGAAGACATGGCTCAGTTTCAGAGCTTTGTTACTAAAAATTAAAAATATAAAGATAAGTAGGCGATTTCCTTTCACTGTGAGACATCGACGAGGGATTTTTTTTCACCAATTTACAGTAACAGTATATTACCATCCAGTAGGTGGCGACATTTCACCAACCACACCATTGCTTGCCAACCAACAATAAGCAAGAGGAAGAAAAGTGGAAGCGGCGCAGCAAATACGCCACATTCATCATCTGTTTGTTTATAGTTATGTCAAGCGGCTCACGCGTCCAGTTAACTTTACCGCAGTGGGATGGAGGCTGTCGGAAGATTCGTTTTATTTATTTAATGGATTCTTCATCCTTTAGTTTGACCAGCTGTCTCAGTCAGGTAAATTGATTGCTTTTGTTGCATAGTTTGATATAGATTTGGTTCTAAGTGTTATTTAAACATAGCGAATTGATTATCATCTATGTGATCTCCACATATTGATATAAAACCTTTTCCACTGTGATATAGATAATTATATGTTTATGTGCCAGGGTCCAGTTATTCCTCTGTATTTCGGAGCTGATCTCCTGTCCAGCACTGACATCCGGGTGGAAAACCATCCCAGGTACCATGCAAAGTTTGCAAAGAAAGGGCTTGCCACTAAAGTGCATTTTCCCTCAGGTAAATTTTCAAGTAGAACAGATACAACAGAGCAAAGGGAATCTTAACAGCATCACTATTATTATCATCATGTAACTTGTGTTGTTTTTGTCTGTTGCAGAATTTAGATTCCAGGGACTGAGGGTGCCTGCTGCAAATAACAGTTTGTGGTTCTACAGCATTCAAGGACTTTTCCGATTAGCTTTTGAAATGTACAATCAACAAGAGCAGCTTGCAGTGCTAGAGAACTTCCAGGTATATAGAATTATTTTATTTGGTTAGTTATAATATACATTTCTCTCTGTCAACAATGCATGTGTTCTTAGTGATTTGCTCAAACTTTGAATTTTGCATTCATGTAATATTTGTGCAGCTGCAATAATTGGAATGTGTAGTTCAATCTTAATTGGTTGTTCGTGTAGGCATATTCCTAATGGGTCAAAATTAAACACAGTGTATAGAGAACACCCACACATAAAAAATATATTTTTTTTGTAGCATTAACATTTTTGTTTTTTTTTTCCCGTGTCAACAACACAGCTCTGTGAATCAATGTCTGATGGCTAGATAACATTCCAACAGACCATTAGAGGGGAGACTTTATTTAAAATTATTTAGGGAATAAAGTCATATACAACAGAGACGGGGAGAAAGAGAGGGGGGATAAAAATTGGAGACAGAGATAGAAAAGAGGGACGACAGAGGACAAAGAGACAAAACCAGACAACAATAGAATAGAAAATCCCTTCATTGTCCCACAATGGAGAAATTCAGGTGTTTACAGCAGCAAACAGATTATAGAAAAAATGGTCACACAATTAGAGACCTTAAATGTTAAAGAATAACATATTAGTGAAGAGTTAAAAGATACACAATAAAATACTGTACTGTAAAGTGTTTTAACGATATTAAAACTGTGCTCCTGGAGAATAGATGCACAGTCAGTATATGGGATATGTTTTTACAAAGCAGGATTATTATAAAGGATAATTTAACAGGGTATTTTTATAGATGGGTATTTATCTATTTAAATATTGCACTGTGTATCAAATAAAAATAAACAGGTTATTGCACAGGGTATTAAATAGTAATTGCACATTATACATTGCACAGTTATTGCCGTTACGGTCTACAATTTATTTGAAACAGTTTGGGTTGCGACTTGGGAGGAATTGGGGGCTTTTTAACAAGACAGTTGAAACTCTTTTGTGATTTCCCAGAGACATTTCATCATCACCTCTCATCAAAATGACCTCTTCAGAGTTGAAACAGCTTTAAGAAGTAGGCGAAGAAGCCCCTACTGCAATCCTTCGTTAACCTTTAGGATCCTTACTGGATATGTTTAATATGTGATTAAGATTGTCTTTTCTTTGCAGGATGTTTGGAAATCTAAGATGGATCAAGGTCCACTAGAAATGAGCTACAACCTCAATATGCAGCTTGACATTCCAGTGTCTCCAAGCATGGCTGACAGAGAGTTAGAGAGTGGAATACCTGGACATAATCATAGCCAGACCAACAGGAAAATCCTGGATTCATGTGTTAGAAATGCAGCTGATACATCAGCAGATCATGATTATTGTTCGTTTACAAAGCAAAGCCGGCAAACCAAGAATATCCATCCCACTGTAGCCTCTCTCAGAGAAAAGCTGCACCACTTGGACGAACAGCTCTGCGCTCCCACTCAGAGCTACACAGATTGTCTGGAGACTATCTTGCTGCTTTTAGATAAGATCAGTTTATACATGAATGGAAACTTGGATGAAAAGGATGCAGCTGAAGCTGTGTTAGCACTACTGGAGGCTAAAGACTGGACCAAAGACTCTTTATATTCAAGTTACCTGCTCACTTGTATGGGACGGTGGCTCGGCCAGCAGTTTCATGCAGCAAACAGTAGCATCAGTCAGAAGGTGGAGGGTTTCAAAGTTCAGCACATTGAGCAAATCAGCGATTTGCCACCTGCTGAGGAGCTGGCTGCTGAGCTCTTTCCAGAAGCCATGCAGACTCTGCTGCTGCACTGGATGGGCTTGATTGATGAGTCAACTGAAGGAAAAAGACACAGCGAATATCCAATCCTGCTTCTTATTCTGGAGTTTGCAAACCATAACCTCATTACTGGCGTCGCTCATGTGCTTTACTCAAGTCTCATATGTAAATGAGGGAATTTCCATAGAACTGCCAACACTATACTGGCACTTTCCTTACAGATGGGATTTTTTTGTAAATTTATTTCTTCTCCAAAGGATAAACCATATCCATTGTTCTAAGAGTAGGAGGAAAGGTGCATTGTTATTAGTTATGTTAATATAACCTAACTTTGGTGAAACATGCCAATTATTGTGGATTTTTTTTATTGTTTTCTGTAGATCTGTTTGACCTCAGTAGAATGTTAGTTGGATTTTACAAAGATCTTAAATATGACTCACCACATTATTTAAAAAGAAAATTTTAATCAGCTGCATTAGGATGCAATTAAGTACACAGACAATAATCTGTTTAGTTTGCACATTTTATATAGAGACTACTTTTCTTTATAGCAAGTTTGATCTTTTTTGATATTTCATAGATTTTCCTCTTTTGTAAGCAAGTAGGTGTTGAAAACATTTACGTTCCATTCACATAAATAAATCTATCATCTTATTGACCTTGAAGACGAAAGTGAAAATAAATCACAATGAGATGAGGAGGTAAGGGTCAGATAGTAACTTGAGTCAATGGAGTTGGATCACGTGTATGATTCTAGGTTTGATTTTTTATTTATTTTTTTACTCAAAGCCTGTTCTGTCCATGATACACTATAAACAATGGTGGGATCATTAAGATGTTTAGGTCTGTTTTTATAACCCCTTAAGTCAGGAGATTCCATTTGAAGCAATCATGTACGCTTTAACACGTAGCCACAGCTACACTAGGGCACGCTGAGACACGGCAATGCAGATGAAGCTTCTCACCAAAGGACAACAGCGACTGAGATATACAGAGCTGGGGTTCACATGGTTTAAGTGAAAATGAAATTTGTTTTAGTCAAGATGGTAAAAACAAATGTTCTGGCTGGTTTTAAACTTTACTTTAGCTTTCAATCTATATTGACCATGCCAAAATTAATATTTCAATTTACATTAGCAACAATATTTTATCAAATAGAATGTTACATTGACTTGGGATCATAAAACGATTGTTGTAAATATATTCTTGCTTTAAAATCCTTACATAAACCACTGCAGTCTTCCTTGCAACTGGAAACCCCTAAACAGCTCAATCTCAGTAAGTTTGAAAGTAAACCTAGCATAAGGCTGTATCTGCTGCTTGGGCCTTTTCTTTTATTAACCAAGCAAAGCCATTTTCTCCAGTAAAAAAGTCAATGCTGTACAAAAAAAAAAACAATAATTGAAAAATAGTTGCAGAAAAACATTCAATAACATTTCTCTGTTAAATCCCTGTAACTGATCCCACATTATGCAACTGCAAGCAGGTATAACACAAAAAAGCGATGCATTATTTTTTTTTTCCCCAAACACAAATTTTATTACATGAAAGGATGGCATCTGTTACTCATTCCGAGCTCACTTCTATGCAGAGCAGTCCATGAGAAGAGTTTTTCTAACAATCCCTGTTTCATTTTCCCCATTGAGAAATGAAGATAAGGGACTCCCATTATGCTACCATAGACCTTATCCTTTGGTGAATGGATGTAAACAGGTTCCATTTAAACCACATCATATTCAGAAAACCACACAATATATTTTTTGTCATAAAAAAGATATCACATTGTTGAAAAGAAGTAATCTATTTAACTGTTTACATTAACCATTGGGTTAATGCAAGCATGGGTTCCTTTTCCAGAAGACGTACAGATTAATAGACACTGAAACAAACTTAGCGTCTCACTATATACAATTCAATCTTACAATTTCTGAGTTTTTTTTTTTCTTTCTATAAATAATTTACAGATTCAGAGCAACATCCATGCAAGCTTGAGGGCCAGCGATGAATTATGTGATGAGATGAGGATGAAGTGCAGAGGATGGGCACTACACAGAATCCATCCCCCGAGAAAAAGATGAGGAAAAGCCGAGGCCCATTCCTCTCTGGGTGTGTGTCTGAGATCGAGCCATCTCGTACTGAACATCAAGGTTCTTAAACATCTCTTCTTGCTTTTGAAGAGTCTTCAAGCCTTCTTTATTGAGTTTTTTGGCAGCTTCTGCATCATCCTCACCCTGCAAAAACATAAAAACTCATTTTACTTTAAAGCTAAAGCTCAAAAGGAAGAAAAAAGACGTCAAACTACATAAGAAAAGAGTCTTACCTTAATACCCATTAGCTTGCGAAATTTGACATTTTGATCCTTGTTTCCAAAGTTGAGCTTTTCCCACAACTCAGCTGTTTGTGACTTTTCCTTAAAAAGACAAATTTGAACATGAGTATCACGAAAACTCATCAAGATCCTATTCACAATTTCACAGAGAAAAGGCAGGAATGATGGGTTACAAACAAACGTACCCCATCTTTCTTTCCCTGCCAAAGCATTTTCCTCTTCTTCTCCTGTTCTGCAAACTTCATTGGGTTGACAGCAGATGGGTTATAATAACTGGGGACAGCAATACCAGTCTCAGCCAGGGTTTTGGCTTGAAGCGCTGCCATCTGTGCAGCCATCGCAATCTGGGGAGTGACCTGTGTTCCAGATGCCAGCAGGGCGGCGACGTTTAGGGCAGGGTTTGAGGCAGCGGCTGCAGCAGCAGCTGCAATAGGGGCAACCACAGCTGAGAACAGACACAGGAGCATAAGCACCAGCAAATGAACAGAACCATCAGCATTTTTAAAGCTGCACAGTAACAACTCATCACCTGCAGCCATTTCCTGCTGTTGCTGCTGCTGTTTCTCTAACATCTCTTTCTCTTTCTGCTCTTGAAGTTTCTTGGCTCTTTCTAGTCTGGAAAGAAAGAACATCATTTTTATTTGCAAAATAAAAACACTATTTGGTTACATTTTTTATTTTATTTGAAATGATTAATACCCTAGAAACTCATACTCTCTTTTTTCCATATTAGTTAATTACTGAGAAGTGTGCCATTTGATTTAACATTTGTTATTTTATACAAACCCAACAAATAGTCAACAAAATCATTGGATTTACATTAAAATAATAAAAGATTGTGAAACCTGGTTCCATAGTTACCTTCTGGCTAAAGCCTCTTGTGCATCCATAGCTGTGTTTCTCCCACGGAAGACGAGCGGACTAACAGACCTACTAAGACTTTTTCTGTGCACCTTCTCAATCCTCTTCTTGCGCTCCCTGCAGCAATAACCAGCAGTAAAATTAGGAGAATGGTTCAAAAACCACCAAGAGGGTTTGCTTTATAACACTCGCCTGCTTTTGCTACGACTTCTGCTGTGGTGACGATGTTTGCTTCTGGAACCTGAACGAGACCTGGCCTTCTTCTTCCTTTCCCGGCTGCGTGATCGGGACCGCCGCCGTTCTCTGCTCCTGCTGTGATGCCGTCTGCGGTTAATAAAAAATTAATTATTACTGGTAATATACCAGAAACAAGCTTACAAAATAAAGAAAATGACTCAAATAAAGACAATAATGTTAACAATGCTTTTAAGGTACCACCATTTGCTGTCACTTTGGACAGCCAAGTGTTGCTAAGTATTTATTTTGGTCTATTTCTGGAGAATAAGAGATTCAGAGATGCCAAGAATGTAAAAAAATGTTGAAGAAGATGCATTTTCTTTTCATGGTACAGAACCCACACTATTTAGATGTTAAATTATTTTCATTCAAGTATATGTATTCAAGTACCAAGAGTTTACAGACTCCTCAAGAGATGGAAGAAAAACTGTTTGCATGTTTCTATTGAAATGTTATTAATTTTACTCTATGGACGGGTTCCTCGAATTTCATTGAGCTTCAAGATTCTGACAAGGTAACGTCCAAACAAATGACTGGGAGATATTTTTTTTAAGTCGTCAGTACATTTTGGGCTATGACAAAATATAATAGCAGAAACTATACCGACACACAGTATTTTTCTCTCATTTGACATTAAATATGATGTTTTTGAAAAGAGTCTCTTTTGATTCACAATGACTTACCTATCTCTCGAGTGTGACCTGGAGAAGCTCCGCCCCCTTGAAGACTTCCTTTCCTTCCGCCTGGATCGCTCCTCTCCATTCTCTGCAGGATGTCTCTCCTGCTCTTGATGGTCATCAGACTTTCTGTGAGATTTTGATGGCTTCTCTGAATCTCTTTTCCGTGCCTGTTTTAAGAAGAAGTTGTCTCTTTCAGGAAAATAGTTCAACAAAAAGAGTTAGTACCATGGCTTAGAGCACAGAGTATGTAAAAAATCTGACAAGACAAAAAAACCTTGTCCTTTTTGAAACCCATCCTCATAAATAACACATCATGATTGTAAATGAGGATATCTCTTAGTATGCACTGTTTTGGCTGCACTGATAGGGAGACCAAGAATAGCAACAATAGCAAATAAAGCAAGCCTTTTGGAAACCTTTTAATAGACCTAATAATGTGCATGCAAATGTTTCATTCTTATTATCCAGACTGAAAACCTTCAAATTAGTTTTGAAAATCTGATAAAAGCAATTCAATGCAACCTAAACTTTTTAGACCAACTGAAAAGTCAAAATAGGGATGGGCATCCAACTGGGATTGCGTTTTAAGTTTAAAGCATTTTTGAGATTCAGTGAATGCCCATTCCTAGCTGCAAGAGATGACAGAGTTAATGCCACTTTTCTACAAACATTGTGAGACAAATAGGAGTTTGAATGGCAGATAGTTACCTGTCCCAGTAGTAGGCATATTATTTTGCTATGTCAGCAGGGTCCTCTGTTCAGTCTCTTCGTGCATTAGCACGCTGAGTATGATTTATTGTAGAAATGTTATCATGTGATCTCCACACAGGATTAAACAAAAATAAAAAGGAAAAGAAAAATCTAGTCTTCACCAGTTTATATCTTTAAATAATCACAGATATCCAAGGAGACAAGTTTCCTGCGATAAATGTGAGCATTAGGAGGTCAAAAAGTCTCCTTTGGAGCTGAGCTCTATTTTTTTTTCCTGAGCCTTTTTTTAAGATTAATGTTTAGCTCAGGCACTACATACTCACCATGACCTAAAGCTAACAACTACTCTCCTCAAATTCAAATCAAAAACTGGTTTTCATTAAAACAACTAAATATATTAATTACCTCTTTGCTCCTGCTGCGACTTCGTCTATATTTTCTGTCACCTGGAAAACACAAAACACAGATTCCCAAACTCATTAGAAAACCTACCATGAAACAACAACTAACAATTCATCATGGAGGTTCTGCAGGGCACATGACACAGTTCTCCTTGGATGTAACGCACCCAGGTACTTTGTCACTAACCATCATCTCAGTTAAGAAGTAAACAAGAATAAATATGGTCAATATTGGTCGGTTGGTCAATCCCAACAGCAGCATTTTTCTGGATATATTTCTCTCTCGCATGGCAGTCAAGAGAAAGAAACCTTTACAGTAATGACTGTAATATCTCTTACGTTTTCGGTCTCTGGAGCGTGACCTAGATCGTGAATGGTGGTGTTTGGATGATCTGGGAGATCTAGAAGATTCCATGCTGTGCTTTCTTCTGTGATCAACTGGAGAATTCACTCTGTTCAACTCAGCAGAGTTGTCACTGTTCTGAAACAAATGAACACGAAAAGACAAGTCAGCAGCAAATCTACGAGGTAAATAAACACACCCACTGCAATATGATGACAACAAGGTGCAGAATAATACAATATTCCTAAGTGCTGACAGATTAATGGCAGAAAATACTGAAAGCTTTTCTTTGCTCCATCTTCATTTTAGAATAGTTTGTCACAACAAATGGCTTCTAGGACATTTACAGCACATCTAAACCTCACAGAGGTCCCAATTACTAACTGACGTTGACTACTGGACAAACCTCAAAAGTTGTCCACTATGTCACTTTAAAATTATTCTAAAATACCACAACCTTCCAGGATAACAAACATAATTATGAAATTAAGACTCTTCGAGTTTAGTCCACTTAACGGCGTTTTAATTTAAGTTTTACATAAACAACCCCAGAATTTTAGCCTTTTAAAAGAATCTTGATCGAAGAAATAAACTTTGATGCAACAAAAGTTACTTTAAGATCCAAATAAATGATTGTATTTAACATAAACACCAGACCTCTAAATTAAGACAGCATACTTATTAAAATACTTTAGACCATATTTAAGTCCACTGGCACACTCCAATTAACTTCAGACTTTAAACACGGACATGATTTTACAATCCGAGCCTGGGGTCTTTCCATGCTAGCGCTAAAATACGTATTTACTAGGACATGGATGACGCTTTGTTAAACTGACTTCTGCTAAAGCAGTTACCTGTTAAACAATTCAGCCTCACACATGTAACCTCATGTATGCCTACTAGTACATTTACCTCACACTACTATATTTAGGATAGAAAGTTAAACAACAGCTAAAATGCTATTCCATAGCCAGCAGCCTTGATGTCGCTATGCTAACGACTGCCGACCGTCGCCATCTTTGAAAGAAAAAAAAATCTCCAGCACATAGGAAAAATACTGTTATAACATAAATATTTGTGCGAGTATTACTGTTTTTGATCTATTAGTACTTACCGACATAACCTCTTATCACAAAATTATATGTAATAGTCTATTTTCGCTGTGGTTCCACACATACTGGAAAGGTCTTTGCTTAGGGCCAGGTCGATGAGTTTCTCAGCTAGAAGCTGCTCTGAGCTGTGTTGCCAGGTTGTGCTGTAGGTATATTAAACTTATATATATATATATATATATATATATATATATATATATATATATATATATATATATATATATATATATATATATATTGTGTGTGTGTGTGTGTGTTATGATAATACGACATGAATTGTATTGATTTATTAATGCATTCGTTCCATTCCATTGACAAAGCAAGAAAGAGAAGTTACCAAGATTTAAAGCAACTATTGTGAGGATTTCTGCATTCTTTCAAGCACCCATACACTTAAGAAAAAAAGTTTTGCATAACAATATACTTTAATAAATCACGCCTTCGTATGTAAGCGTAAATGTATTTGTGATTGAAAATAAAACGTCATGCTGCAAACATAGCTATGTAAATCCAACCTGGCAACGCGCAGCGGACAATGTTGCTTTAATCCCGACATATATTCTACCAGGCTCAAACAAGGTTTTACATTAACCTATTTTCACTGGATTTCATTTCATATATTGACAGATACTAAAACTAAACATATTATCCAAGAAAAAGGTATCAAATTTTGGATACAGACTGTGAATTATTAGTAAACAATCAGTTAACTGTGCGTCTGTTGGAGACGAAGCACCTGGAAGACCAAACGCAGGGACTCCGCAGCCCATATTGCGACCCGCCAAATTCTAAAGCTAATGTTATGAACTGGGGTTGGAGCTGCCTTTCCGTTTTGGAAATACAAAGTACAGTCATTAGTGTCATTTGGCGTTTGCATAATCCATCAGATAGTAAACTGTCGCTTCGATATCATCCTTTGCGTTTGGTTGGTTTTAAAGTTTGTCGCTGAATTTTGCTTTAACGTCAAGCTAAGGGCTGAGAAAGGACTAGCTAATGTATATAGCAGCTAATTGACAGGTTGAGGGATTTCTATATTTCTCATTATTTCTCAGTTCTTAGAGATGGCGACGTGGAGCGACGTTGAGCTCCTTGTCAACGAAGATACAAACTCCGCGCGGCTGTACGGTGTGTCGACAGAGGAAAGTGGAAGCGGATTGTATCAGGTGGACACACTGGTCAAAATCTCCTCTGCCGATGAGGTAATTTGGGGAAGTAAAGGCCTGGACAGAGGCATAAATAAGATTTGTGGAACTATTATAGACATATTGAATTATTATTTGTAGTCTTTGGATGTTTTAAATTCAAATGAGAATAGTCTTGTCAGGAAGTTTAATCAAAGGCTGCAAAACCCTGGTGTTTTTCAGAAGTTCTGATTTTTCTACATTGCAGTCAACCATGTTTTGAGATGATTTACTGTAAATGTTTTTCTGCAGGTGCCAGCAGATCCCCGGCTTTTGTCTTTTGGTGGTTTAAACTGGAGCATTGTGGTTGTTGACAAGACGGTGATCCTGTTTGATCAGAGTTATCAGACCGTCTTGCTACTTTTTCACTTTGGTAAAGAAAATATATCTGGTTTATTTTTCTTGCTTTATTAGAGATTATTTGTGTTTTAGGAGTCATGCCTAAAGTTTGAAGGCCATATATATATATATATATATATATATATATATATATATATATACACTCACCGGCCACTTTATTAGGTACCCCATGCTAGTAACGGGTTTGACCCCCTTTTGCCTTCAGAACTGCCTCAATTCTTCGTGGCATAGATTCAACAAGGTGCTGGAAGCATTCCTCAGGGAGTTTGGTCCATATTGACATGATGGCATCACACAGTTGCCGCAGATTTGTCGGCTGCACATCCATGATGCGAATCTCCCGTTCCACCACATCCCAAAGATGCTCTATTGGATTGAGATCTGGTGACTGTGGAGGCCATTTGAGTACAGTGAACTCATTGTCATGTTCTAGAAACCAGTCTGAGATGATTCCAGCTTTATGACATGGTGCATTATCCTGCTGAAAGTAGCCATCAGAATTTGGGTACTTGTGGTCATAAAGGGATGGACATGGTCAGCAACAATACTCAGGTAGGCTGTGGCGTTGCAACGATGCTCAATTGGTACCAAGGGGCCCAAAGAGTGCCAAGAAAATATTCCCCACACCATGACACCACCACCTCCAGCCTGAACCGTTGATACAAGGCAGGATGGATCCATGCTTTCATGTTGTAGACGCCAAATTGTGACCCTACCATCCGAATGTCACAGCAGAAATCGAGACTCATCAGACCAGGCAACGTTTTTTCCAATCTTCTATTGTCCAATTTCGATGAGCTTGTGCAAATTGTAGCCTCAGTTTCCTGTTCTTAGCTGAAAGGAGTGGCACCCGGTGTGGTCTTCTGCTGCTGTAGCCCATCTGCCACAGAGTTCGACGTACTGTGCGTTCAGAGATGCTCTTCTGCCCACCTTGGTTGTAACGGGTGGTTATTTGAGTCACTGTTGCCCTTCTATCAGCTCGAATCAGTCTGGCCATTCTCCTCTGACCTCTGGCATCAACAAGGCATTTCCGCCCACAGAAGTGCCGCTCACTGGATGTTTTTTCTTTTTCAGACCATTCTCTGTAAACCCTAGAGATGGTTGTGCGTGAAAATCCCAGTAGATCAGCAGTTTCTGAAATACTCAGACCAGCCCTTCTGGCACCAACAATCATGCCACATTCAAAGTCACTCAAATCACCTTTCTTCCCCATACTGATGCTCGGTTTGAACTGCAGGAGATTGTCTTGACCATGTCTACATGCCTAAATGCACTGAGTTGCCGCCATGTGATTAGCTGCTTAGAAATTAAGTGTTAACAAGCAGTTGGACAGGTGTACCTAATAAAGTGGCCAGTGAGTGTATATATATATATATATATATATATATATATATATGCAAAATTCCTTTACTTTGTCTGTGGATACATCAGTATTAATCTTACCCCTTGATGCCATTTTATTAATTAAGTAAAATCTGATAATTTGTTTAGGTTCATTTTAAAGTTAAATTCATCTACGGTAGTCCTAATCACCTTCCATGCCAAGGACTTAGAGGCTTCGAAGTCTGAATCGTCCTGACAGAAATAACTGCATCAGATTTCAAAACTGAAAATCTTTATCGGTCAAAGCTTGACTCTTTGTTGTTTCAGGAACTGACGTGGACGCCATCGACGTTTGCCTTGGTGGGACATTTTTGGTGGTCTGTGAAAGAAATGGGAACCTTCATTTGATCTATGTTCCACAAAAAAGAATCCTCTTTACAAGGGTTTGGGAGTTTTTGTTTTTTATACATCTAGTGTGTTAGAGCCCCTATTTAATGCTTTTACATTAAATATGCTCTAATGGATTTTTTAAATAGTGATTTGATTGAAAACAGTGACATATATTTCTGTATGATAGAAACAGATGTGAACTGTATTTGTTTTCTCTCAGTTTTATCTTCTGTTTTTTCACTTTTTTATTCCTGTGTTGGATGTATTGGATTTTTCAGACTTTGGTTGACAAACCCTCGAGTAATGATGAGAAAACCTACCGTTCCATCATCATAAGTGAGGACAAGTCATCCGTCGGTAAGGTATTTCATTCTCCTATAGTCAGTGGATGTTTATCTGTTATTTTGAATCTATCTTTTCACCAGACTTATATTTAATCAAGTATTTTTTTCTTTTTGAACTGTAAATCTAAATTCCCTGTTTCCTGTAACAGGGATGTACCATGTCTTTCTACTCATAAAGGACGGCTTTTTCCACATTTCAAACCTCACTTTGACAAAGATCCAGACAGGTATTGAATGTTTACATGCTACTTTTATGTGGAACTACTGTTTAAACACAATATAATACCTTTCTCTCTCACTATCCAAGCATGTGAAAATATGGATGTGGGAGCTTTTAAAGAGGTGACGTCATTTGTTTCCATTTTGCATCAGGATAATTTACCGAAGAGGGGTATTAGATTATTTTTATTTTTTTTTTATCCAGCTCCAGAGTCTCATCAAGGTGGACTTTATCTCCACTGAGGATTACCATGATGAGGGTTGCAGTACAGCAGTGATTTTCAGTCTTGGCCATGAACTCAACCTATTGATTGGGGTTGGTGTGCAAGAGAAATGTTTAAATCACTCATTATGTTTGTGAATTAGTATTGGCTGCATGCAAACAAAAGTAATGTTAAAGGATGACATTTTATGAAAATAATTCATGATATAATTTGTGGTACCAAAACTTTGCAGGGGGGCAAAGATATTGTTGTGACTCGCTGGAAGATGGATCCTCTTGAAGGAAAAATGTGTTTTTCTCAGTCCATCGACAACAGCTTGATTCCTGGTAATGTGTTTGATTTGCAGTATTGTGTTGTGTTTTTTTTTTGTTTTTTTATGCAGCGCAGTTAGGCTGTAGACACATCATCAAGGAAGGTACTTTGGTTTTTAATGCACTGCGTAAGAAAAGTTTTTTACCTTTGAGTTTTTCCTTAATTGGCCCAGTTGCAACTGAAAATCTCTTGTTGGAGTTTTATGTGATTGTTGACATGAGGTAGTGAGAGATCGTTAAGTGGGTATTAGCCATGCAAAACTGATAAAAAAAGAAGCCTTTGTTAAAAAATCAGAATTCTCTTTTAACCAAAGCATTTCCTACTAAAATGGCTTATTACCCTGGACATCCTCTCCTCATGGTACAACATATAGATGGTCGCAGGTTGATGGAGTGATTCAGATGGAAAAATATTCATGTGTGAGTGTGGCCCTGCCAATGTCAGGCCTCACATTTAATCGATAATGTTTGGAAAAACTTCCCTCAATCTATTCTGAAGAACTGGCATAAATTCTCCTCTCTAGATCTGATAAGCTGATAAAAACATTACTTTAAAGAGTTAATTAGAGCAAAAGGTGGTGTTAAAAGTACTGACTCAAGGAAACTCCATTCCAATCGGAGGTGTCAAAAGTATTCATCTTTATTACTCAGGTAGAAATATAAATTGTGCTGTTTAAAAACACTTTTGTAGAAGTTAGAGTATCAACTTAAGCTTTTTACTCAAGTAAAAGTACCATTTTTAAAACTACTTAAAGTATAAAAGTAAAGGAATGCAGGAAACATTTTTAAGGACAGATGCTTAAAACCTCTTACTGGTTATTGCACTACCCTTTTAAAGGAACATTTCCTGGATTTTAACTTCCTTATACTTAATTTTCTTAGTCTTATAAATAATGGTAACAGTGTGGCCCTGCGATGGACTGGCGACCTGTCCAGGGTGCACCCTGCTTCTCACCCGTAGACAGCTGGAGATAGGCACCAACATCCCTTGTGACCCCAGCAGGGATAAAGCGTGACAGAAAATGGATGGATGGATGGGTGACGGTGTAAAATTTAAATTTACATAATCTTGAACTATTCATTTTGGTATGTGTCGAACAACAAGTTGGTGCAGCACAGAGCCAACCACAAAGAACTTTATTGTCTGGATGAAACATATTATTTTAAATACCAACAGGCCATAACGAAAATGAGCTAAAATGAAACAAAGCTAATGAGCCTATTTTTAAAATATTAGGGACAGAAAGTAGAGATAATTGCAAAAAATGTAACAAGTAGAAGTAAAGAGTTGTCTAAAAAAATAATTACCCCTGTAAAGTATAGAGGGCAAAAATGTACTAAGCATTTGTACTTTGTTACAAGACACCTCTGATTCCAATGCATGCTGTACAAAATTAGTATTTGCGACCCTGTAAAACCACGTATGCTTACCCTTCATTTCTGAATTATGTTGCACTTAATATAAAACCAAAGAAGAGATCAAATGTTTTTCTTGTTCTTTCGTCCACTTTTGCAGGTGTGAGAAAGATGGTGGTTGTGGAAAATCTGTTGTATATTTTGGACTCTGAGGTGTGTTCAGTTGAGCCCTCTTTAATTTCCATCACACATACGGCAAATTAAACGTTTTTAAATCCGGTCTTCTGTATCAGGATGTTCTGAGCGTCTGGTACCTGCATTTTCTCGTCATGATTCACTCCTGGCCAGATCTATCCTTCCATGACTTTGAACTAACCACTGAGTGTGGCTCTGCCTCTATGTGAGTATAAGTCTGTCTTAATGAAGTGGTGTTACTTTGCAGACTCCTTGAGATGTTCCTCTGAAGTTGAATTCCTAGTTTTTGATTGTTTTCTGGTTTTTGTTGCAGTCAAGACCAGAGCAATATGAAGATAATTACTCTGACGAAGCAAAAGAGCGGTCAGGTAGCATCACAAGTCCTCCAACAGCCGTGTACTGACTAATAACTTTTCTGAGGATCTGCTGCTGTTCATGTTTCAGATCAACTCCCTTCAAATCAGATGTCTGCCCTCCATGAGTGTTTGCTACTCTCTTGACATCTCCTCAGTCTCCTGCCTCGTCCAGATGAAAACAAATATGGTGAGCAATCAAACTTTATTCAGACTTGAGAAAATGCTTGATCCTTTCGTATGTATTTATATTTCTTATTACTATGGGGTTTATTTTTATTCAGGATGCAATTTATTTGGTCGAGGCGATTAGTGAGAACCCAGAAAGGTCAGACATGTTTTTGTCATTTTCTCAAATAAATTTTTTTTGTTTGTTTTTTTTAGAAGTGGGTAGCATGTTTTCAACGCTGAATTTTGATTTTAATTTTCTCTGTACGCAGCCAAGGAGAGCCTGTAGCAACTGTTGTTGTGCGATGTTTCACTGAGGCTTTACCTGAGAACAGGTACCCAATTATTATCCGATGTGTTTCTGCTTGAACTGTTAAACTGTTGGCTGTTCTCTACAACATAAATATTTTATTCAGGATTTTTTCCCCTTCCTTCTAGGCTGAGTCGGCTGTTATACAAGCACATGTTTGAGGAGGCTGAAAAGTTTGCCATCGCGTTTGAACTCGATCTAGAGGTAATTGTGTTTGGTCAGTAAACGTAACTTAAGGGTAAAAACATAACATCTGCACTGTTGGAAAACATATAAACATGTAAACTTAACAGGCATACAAACAACCAGCCTTCAGACTGAGAACATTTTATTCTTTAGGAGGGGAAGGTTACATTAAACAAATAATTGCTTTAAAATATGAGCTGCTGGCTGTTTTTTTTCCAGCTTGTTTACAAGGTGAAGCTTGACTTTGTGCTGGAGCAGCTGGCCTCTGCCTCAGTGGGTGGATATGGACCAGACGTCTGGTCTGAGCTCATAGAGGAGGCCAAGACAAACCTGGTGAAAATTGCGGTATGTTCTGTGACATTTTCTATCACAACAACATTTTCCTAAATTCTGAATTTCAAAAACAGTGGACTGTGATACCAAAGTATCCATATGAACAGAGGCTGTAACTGTCTGTACAGGATGAGCAGTACGTGGTGGACTATTGCCTGAAGGCTCCCTGGCCGACCTTTGAGACCGCAGAGAAGATGCTAAACCACGCTGCCTCGCGCTACTCCTGCTTACAGGTCCACGAGGCCTTGGCCCGGCTTGCCACATTCTGTAGCCTCCATGGCTCGGAAAATTTCAAGTAAAGTCAATATTTTATTAATTGCATGTCATACTGTAGCATCATACAGCGCTATGTGACGCTACTTTTGTTTTGTGGATGTCACCTGCAGCGGGATTGCCTGGATCGAGTTTCTAAACTGCACCGACAATCTTGGAGAAGTTTTGACCCACTTAAGAGAGGGAGACATGAGGGGTGCACAGCTTCTTTGGATGAGATACGAGGTAACAGATGTATCATATAGAAGGAATTTTGGTGCAAATTTGTGTCTCAATTGGATAGTGATATTAAAAAATTATGCTATATTGGCCTATATCTAAAATATTTGATATAATCACAGTGATGGAAGCACTCCTGCTCAGTGTTCAGTCAGAAATCAAAAAGTTGTCTACTTTAATTTTCTCTGTTTGTAAAATAGTCATGTTAATAAATGAGTAGATTGCGTTTTAAATGTTGTGATGTTTATTCCAGGGACAGATCGCCCTAGAGTTTGATGAGAAGTGTCTTGAAGCAGTTCTAAGTGCCATCCCAGAGGACCTGCCGTCCCAAAACCTCTGTCCTTGGTTTAGGACAGTCTTTGTCCCTTTTGTGAGGAGAGTCTTTCCAAGAGGACAGGTGGAATATGTTCACTTTTATTTAAAATGTGCCTCCTTTATGGAATAGTGTCCTTTAAAGTTTTATCTGTGTCTTCATCTTATAGAGAATTTTGGCTAAATGGCTGGAGCACAAAGCAAGAAATTTGGAGTTTACTGAAAAGGTAGAGAAATGGTGATTTATTGCTGACTGATGCAATAATCATTAAGTGTTGTTGATAGCTGCTGTGGGCTGATTCCCGGCTAACATTTGCCTTTGAAATATAGCAATGATATGTAGAAATAGTGTATAAATACAGTATGATTTCTTAATGTATCGATATAAAACAAAAAGTCAGAGAGATTTTGATTAATTTCTCCCTCAGGGTTCTTGGCCTCAGAATGGGCTGAATTTGGCCATGCTTGGACTTCCCTCTTTATGGACCTGGATTAAATCTGTTGTAAGGGGTTTTGCCTCAGTAATAACCATATTGATGGGACTAAGCATTTATTCATTTATTCTAATAACTTTGTGTTTTTTTAAGGATGATAATGATGGTGCAAATGAATTGGAGAGCCTGAAGTCTCTTGTGTCCAACCTGCGTCAACTGCTGGACCTTCATCAGAAATATAACTGCAGACTGCCGCTCTCAGTCTTTGAAAAGGTTTACTCTTTCTTGATTTGCTCCATCCTTGCTTATCTCTAACCTGACTCCACCAGATGGATTTGCTCTGCATATCCATCTGGAAACCTTCCGTTGCAGTAATTTTGGGAAGGGGCGAAAATACTGGTTAGCTGATTGGCTGATTGGCTCGTTGATCTGATTATTAATCAGATCAACGAAGCATATGACGTACTAACAGAGCGACGACGAAAACACAACCACAAGCCAGGCTACTCTTGCCAAAACCAGTCGGGAGAAGAGCAAAAACATATTTTCCTCTGAGAAAAGCCTCCAGAGCAGTGTTTTGCTCTTCTTTCAGTGAAGAAATACTCTGTAATACCGATAAAACTTGCTCGATAGCCACGCTAACGCTAGTTTCATCGGCGATTCATTTCATCAGATTTCATCTGGAGAGTCTCCAGACTGATCTGCGAGTGAAACCTGAAAGCTCGCAAGATCAGGATGGACTCACGAGGCTAGCTTATCTCAGCATCATATATCTGAAGGAGATGAGTTAATTTAAGCCTTTGGATAATTGATGAAGTTATGTCTCACTATACGAAGAGATTGTTTATAGTCTGGAATTCTCCAGGTCTGGATAAGTTTTGAAAAGAAATGACATAAATGGAAGAATATGTCTAGTTGCAGACTTTAATCTTCATCGGCATCTGTCTGGGTTGTGTCCCTCCTTCTTTGTAACTTTTTATTGTTTCTTCCTTATGTTCCTCTTGCATTCTACTTCTTTACTTTTGTCTTTTCTTGTGTACCTCCACCTTTCTATCCTTCCTTTCCTTATGTTCTTCTTTGTGGTGAATACTGTTGTGTCCTCTGCCATCCTTCCATCTTTTGTTTTTCCTCCATCATCCTTCCTTTTATCCCTGTTGTTTTCCCAACCTTCCATTCCTTTCTTATGTTCTTTCCTACTTAACTCTTTCCTTCTGTGTCCTTCCTTCCTCTCACCTTTCTTTCTTCTCGTAACCTCTAATGTTTCCTTCCATCTTTCAATTATTCCTTCTTTTCTTTCTTGTGTTCTCCTTTCATCACTAGCTTCATTCTTCAATCATTCCTTTCTTTTGTATTCCTTCCTCCCTCTCTCCCACCATCCTTAGTTTGTTCCTTATTTCCTAGCTTCTTTGAGCCCTGCCTGTCACTACCGATCCGCCCCGGAATCACGATCAATCCTGCACATGCGCAAACAAAATAGTAGGATCCGAAAAACAATGTAATAACGGTACTGAAAATACTTATTTATATACTTAAAACTTTAAAGAATGCTAAACTACATTATATAGAAAATATTGAAGATTTTTTTGGAAAAAATAGATACGTTTTACATTCTCTACATTGTATTGCTTGACGTCATCATCGGACATGCCCAGAGCAGTCACAGTAACATTCGAAAGGCTATTTAAGTGTATTGTTTTTGTTTTTTTTTTAATATCAAATATTTAACAAATACAGAAATGTTCAAAAGGAACCCCTCGCCACAAAAAAGACAAAAGAATAAAGAAATTAGAAAAAAGTATTGCCTACCTGGAAGTTATTCTGTTTGCGCTGGACGAATTGTGCTTCCGAGACGGATCGGGTTGTGACACTGCCTCTTTGTTTTATCATTTCTGTTTTCCTTCTTTTTCTTAATTCCCTTCGATCATCATTCTACCCTTTGAGTCACATCCTGCATTGGTTGTATTTTTAAAGCCTGCTCACTGCAGAAATGTTCATCATCTTTCATAGTGAACTCTAGAAAATTGAGTCTGGGACTTTTACATTGATGTCTGCAGGATCCCAGTCTGCAGAGTTTACTGATTTAATATGTTAACAATCATTGCTATCTTATTTCAGCAGCTCAGTTTAGTATCTCTAGAAGCGATGAGCAGGATGTTGTTGGATGTTTGTTGCCAAAACAACCAGACCACCTTTTTTCTGGATGTAATTGAAACACATTGCAACCTTCTATTAACCAAGATAATTATATACACATTTTTGCAAGAAATTATGTCTAAACCCAGAACTGTAACATCCAAAGTAATTAGTTACCTTTAGTAAGGGAGTAACTCATTTTCTTCTTAAAAAAAAAAAAAAAACTATTGCAGACTGATGGATGTAAATTGCTCTGTTGCTCAACTGCTATAAATGGTTTAATCATGTTCATCTTTGCTTTACTGTGAGTTAAGCTTTTATGTTTAGTAAAATTAATTTTTCACATTTTTCTTCTTTCCTATTTAAAGGGAAGTGAGCTGAGTGTGGCTTTCTTTTTGCTGGACAAAGTTCCAGCTCCGGAGTTGATCGCAGCCACAGTGGAAAACAGCGTTCGGCCGTACGCAGAGGAGTACAAGCTTCCATTAGATGAACTGCTGCTGCAATACATCAAGGTAGAACTTATTAAACATCTATTTTACCACTATTAAACAGATATTCAGGTGAACAGACAAATTAAAAAAGTTTATTAATCAGAAAACATTATGTTAATTCCTCTAAATAGAATATAGTCAAATATATCTTTTAAATGAGGTATTTCATACTTTTCAATAAACATGTTTTTTTTTTTACAATCAATACTTCAGTATCATAATTATTTTTCATCTTTTCTGTCTCTCATTAAATTGACATTTTTACATACATAAGTTGAACATTTCTTTCTTGATGATTTTTTTGTTTGTCTTTCATCTTAAACAATTAAAACATCTCTATTTTATAGTGAAACCTTTAACTTTTGTTGTAATAAGAGATTAGATTAGAAACATAAAGAAGGGTTCATACAAATCTATAAAAATTCTGGCATTTGCTTTTATTATTGCCATGTCTGAATGAAAAAAATAAATAAATGGAAATCTTTGAATTAATTTCCTGTTTTCATTTTTAGCTTTTAATATAGAGGCTTTGGTTTTACATAGCTTAACTTTATATTTAATATGTCGGATCACACTTTACCCTTCTTTGTTTAGTTTAAATGTCCTTGCTAAATGACAGCTAAGCCATTTTATAACTGTAGTGTTTATTTTTTATAATGCATGCGGGAAAACCCTGAATTGAACCTGGAAGACTGAATTTATTTCTTTTGCCCTCAGATGCTCACAGGATTTTCATATTCTCTTGTGTTTTGAATCAAGGATCTGTTGGAGCGCTGCATTTCTCAGACCATGAGCCTTTTCATTGAAGCCAAAGCGGTGGCTGTGATCGGCTGCATGACTGACACTGATGTGAGTTGTAATGCGGTACAAAGACGCTCCCTAATATTTCTGATATTTTCACAAGTGGTGAAAAGGGGAGGGGGGAAACAACCTCGGTAAAACCAAATTAGGTTAAAGCAGGTTTGCTCTGAAATTGTAAAATAATTCTTTATTTTTTATTTTTACCAGCTGAAGGTGGATGCTGTTCTAGAGATCATGCAGAAAGCTGTGGTGTCCTGGAGCAATGTGGTGGAAAAACTTGTGCAGGAATACCTGGAGATGGATGGACCAAAGTAAGGATTGTTTTATTGGATTGTTTTGACTAAAATCATCTTCAAGTTAAGATTCAATCTTTTCTATTTTTCAGACAGGAGCTTTTGAAGGAGAGCTACCACCTGATGGAGATCAGGAAACTTCTTAGGGGCTACGGCATTCACAACTTCAACCTCTCTAACAGCACTCAGGTTATGGTAAGCTTGGATAAATATTTACAATGAGTGATACTACCTAATTTGTAGATCAGCTAAGAAACACATCTTGCTTTGTTTGTTACAGTCACTCATTCGATACATCCTGAATCAAGACTTACCGATGTCTTTAGAGGACTCTCTGACATTAGCAGAGGCTTACAATCTACCAACAGCACAAATCAATTATCTATACCTCATCCAGTTGATCAACCATGGCAGGGTAAGCAAAAAACACACCCCACTATTTAATCAGATGTGTTTTTTTCCGTTTATGGTGTTGAAATATTTTTCTTTTGCTGCTTTCAGACTGAGGAGGTCTTGACCGTCCTGAAGAAGCTGTCCTCTGAAGAGGCGGTGTGTGTGATAGAGCGTCTCACATCGTGGGCTCGGCTGCAGCTGGAGGACAAAGTCCACATATCTGATGAGGTGGGAGGGAGAGACATTTTCTATTCTTGTATTACTCTTCTACCTTTTAAAGCGTTTGCCTGTTGTTTATTTAAAATGATCTATTAACATAGTGTCTATAGAAGGGTTCAGATCCTGCACACTTTTAAATGTTTCTCTGCTCCAACATACCTGAGTCAAGTAATCAGTTCATCAGCAGCTGTCTGAAGAACTTGACTAAATACTAAGGCAGCTGTTGAGTAATGTGTTTGTGGAAGCAGAGACCTCTAAAAGGTGCAGGACAGCAGACCTCGAGGACTGAAATAGAAGACCAGCGGTCTATGGCTAAAACAGAATAAACTTTACAACTTTGAGATGCGTGTTTAAATGAAATCATATTTCAGTTTTCTTGTCTTTTTCAGCACAAGAAGCACCAGATGACTGTAGCTCAGGTGATAGTGGAGGCTCTAAAACACCTGCATTTAATCCTTAAACGTAAGTGTTACAGTAACTGTTTTGTACTCCTCAAGTCTTTGCGTTTCACACTACCACTGGAACTGTGACAGTGTTTAATTTTATAACTATAATGCATCTAGAACCATTCCAACCATTGAGATTTGCAATTTCCCCCTCCACATATTTTCACCCTTAAAACTTTAACAATGTTTTTCTTATTCTGAACAGACCACCCAGCTTTCTCCTCTTTCACATAATTTAGCTCTTCACAGTATTAAGAAATTTAAACCCAGAGATCCAAAAGTGTCTTTATAGTACACTTCACCAGCAGGACTTAAACAAAAAAAAAAAGGTCTATATGGAGCCCTATGTAAAAACACCCCGGATTTTTTTTTTTTTTTTTTTTTTTGACCCCTGGGTTACAGAGAGATGCTGGGTTAGTGTGATGGTCTGGGACTGCTTTGCACTTTCAGGACCTGTGAAGCCATAAAAATCCTGAGGAACAGCATGCATATCCATCCTTCTGTGTGAGCTTACGCAGCAGAACAATTATCCTTTGCATATCAGAAAGTCCACCCCTGAAGGGATCCTAAAACCATATTGTAGGATTTGGAGTGGCAAAATAATGACTCGAATCATTTGAGATTCTTTTGAATGAGCTGAAACCGGGGAGCTGGTTGACAGTTGCCTTTTGTATCTGTATTATATTTGTATCTTGTATCATTTTTTATCTCCGCTTCTTTTTCCATATCTGCTTCTATCTCCTCAAACCCCAGTCGGCCTCGGCAGATTGCCGCTCACACTGAGCCTGGTTCTGCAGGAGGTTTTTCCTCTCCACTGTCACTACAAGCATGCTTAGTGTGAGGGATTGCCTTCGAGTCAATGAGTCGATGCAATCAACTGGTTTTCCTTAGATAGAAAACATTGAATTAGTTTGACTGAATGATCTGGTTGAATTGTCTCTGTAAAATGCCTTGAGATGACATGTGCTGTGAATTGGCGTTATATAAAAAAACTGAATTGAACATTAATTGATGGTTCCAGAACCTCTACAGATCTGCAGCCTGATCATCCATACACAGGATTTATATTAATGCATACCTGAAATAACCAGATTCAAAGCCAGTTTTTTTTTTCTTTGTTCTTTCCAGATGATGCTCTTAAAAGCATGGAGTGTGAGTACAACCTCATCATGTTTAAGGCGATCGCCCACCTACAGGTGACTTTCCTTTCAGAAATAATTTAAGCGTTCCTAAGTATGTTCTTTAATGAAAAAGTTTTAATCTGCCGTCTTTGTAACCGCCCTTTTTTTTTTAGGAAGATTTTGATGTTTTCTTCACCCCCTCCAACTATGAAGATCCAAACATCAGAAAGCAAATCCAAGAGCATCACATCACAGCATATGAAAATACTCGAGCTCGCCATTCCTCAAGAGGGAAGGCTTCCTCAGCTCCAATTGTGGCAAATGACCCAGATGGGAAGACAAAGACTATCTCCACAGAAGCTGGCTTACGCCGGCTTGGAAGGCAGCTGCAGCGCACTGAGCAGGAGCTGTGGTCTGACCTGGGCCTTCGAGCTCTGAGAGTGGGGAAGGTGGAAAAGGCCCTGAAAATCCTCAGGTTGGAATGCTTCCTGCGAGAGATCCAGGCTGTAGTTATTACTGAGTTCTTACTTTCTTTGTCTTCCTTTGTGTCTTCAGTGAGCTGTACGAGTACCACTACAACAGCAATACAGGGAAAGTTCTTTTCACCGCTGCCAGGACTTTGTGTCAGATGCTGCAGGCAAATGTTCCCATGGTGATTCCTGAAGGCATGGATTTACCTGCAGTCATCCACGATCTGGCCTGCCAGGCCATCACTTTGTGCAACTCTGGTAAGAAAGCGTGTATTGAAAGACATCCCTAGAGTTCAGCTGGCTTTTATTTTGTTGAAAATAAATGTTTATTGTCATGGTTTTATTTATTTTTTTTAAACACATGTTTATTATGCAAATAATACAGCAAACATTTAAACAGCAGTAGTGTAGCAGATTCTGAAAAGTCTATAAAAAGAATTTAAATTTAAGTTACATTTAGGTTTTTGCATTTAACTTGAGAAAAAAAAGCTAAATATAACTAAATGAATTGTTCTAGATCTACTTTTGGACTGCCTGGAGCTTTGTAAGTGCACACGGATCGCCATGGATGTATATCACCAGTGCCAGTTATCTGACGATTATGGCTTCCTAGCAAAGGTCAGTATGGTTCCTATGTTCAGTGGCTTGCAGATGAATTAATATCCTTTAAACCTTTTCACATGAGTTCAGTTTCATCAGATTTCTGGGTGGTAGACCAACACAATGTATGACCTAATTGTTAAACTGGATTCATACCTCTTAGCTTGAACTCTGATCTCTTTTTAAAGTCCCAGCTGAAGAAAAGAATCCCCCACAGCATGATAGTGTCACCATCACATGTCAGAGTGGGGATTTTGTTTTTCAAGCGTAAAAAAACAGTTCTGTCTGGTCTGACTGAGAGTCTTGTTCCATGCATTTCCTGTGCAGTTGACTTGATTTAAAGAAAACTGCAAATATGGCGTCTCATGTTCTTCTGTAACCAATCTCTTGCTTTTAGCCACTCTGATAAAATGCTTTTATGACTCCTAACTGTGCTCTCGATATCTGGGGCTCCTCCATACCTACCATGTTTTTCTTGGCTGCTGATCAGTGTTCTTTTTGTCCAGCACCTCAGCTTATACAGTATGGGTGACATTTTGGTAATGTTGCAGTTGTGCCATTTTGTCTAAAAGGCACGGACTCTTAGGAACTAGGTTAACTTTTAATACTATCGGTTGCACTGGATTTTATTAAGGAGTATCAGAGTTCAGGGCACACTTCTCTTTTCTAAAGGTAAAACATTTTCAATTCTAAAATTTTCCCTTTCGTTTTCACGTGTGTTTGCATCACATAAAATCCCACAAAAATACATTGAAGTTTGTGGTTCCAAAGACGAATGGTTCAAAATGTGTTAATACTTCTGGAAGGGACCAACGAAACAAAAAAGAAACTGTGCTGGAGCCATTTACCTTATTTTTCTGTATTTATTTCCACCAGGGGTTCCTTCTCCTTGTGCGCTTTTCTTATGTTTGAAGCATGATGGGGTTATTTAAGGTCAAGTGTCATTCTGTTTAGGTGTTGCTAAATGAGAAGATACAAATGGTTTTCTCATTAGTTTTAAGTTATGTTGGTTTGTTTTGTTCTAAATGAAAAGACAATGGACCTTATGGAAATGAATAGCTTTAAGAATAATTCCAAATAAGACCTGCATATTCCTTTTTGAGAGTATGTAAGGCCAAAGCCTAACACGAGCAACCAGTAGCCTAAAATATAAGATTTTAGCCGCTACAAACAGTTTTTTTTTGTTGTTGTTTTTTTTTACTTTTGGAAACAAAGAAATTATCAAAACATTCTTTTTAATCATCTGAAGCAAATACATTTTTTTTTTTGCAGGAGTCTAGTTTGGAGGCAGAAAAAGATGCCTACTCTCAGTGTAGCTTTCAGGATGTTTTCAACGAAGATTGCATAGTTTTGGATCCAATGGCAGTTCTTCCTGTGCAGTATGAAATCACCAATTGCCTGTTGCCTATTCCCCAAGGTAAAAAAAAAACTTCTGTCATTACATTTATCTTTTCACACTTAGATCTGCCTGACATCTACTCTGTCGGTACTCTAATTCTGCATTTCCGATCTATTACTATATTTACAGACACTAAACTGTTTCCGCTGGACTGTTCCTGTCTGTCCCATTGCTCATTTGTGGATGGTAGGCATTTTTCTTAATTTCCTCTTTTTTTTCCCACCTCTGTGAAATATTTTCTTGTGTCTAACTTGGTCTACATGCAGGTTCAAACCACCTGCAAACCCTCCAAGAACCCCTGACCAGCATGCTGCAGATGCTGCAAGAGTGCAGTCAGCTGGAGTTGACCCTCAGAGTGCTGGTCAATTCTTATGGCAGCTGCCTGAAGCATGTCACCTCCAATATTATGGACACAAAGCTGAGCGTTCAGGTAGAACTAATCTGTGCTTTGCTTCTAGAATAGCTGTCCGTCCCATATTTAATGGTTTTCTTTAATAACATTAATGCAGTATTTACAAAGCACTTATGAAATAACTCAACACAACAATTAGACTATAGAAACAAAAGTCCTAAGAAAAGAGATCCAAAATGAGAAGTTCAGTGCTTTACGGCATGAAGGATCTTGCCGTAATTAATTTTTTCCTAATTTATAAACTGAAACTGACATGTCTAATAGGAGAATCAATTCTGCAGAAACAATTCTCGCATATTTATTTACTTATAAGAACCAGAATACGTTGACCTATCTGCCATTTTGAACTGGCACTTGTGCAAAAGGGGCATCTACTGGTCAAGGGTATGCTAAAATGTAATCTGCACATAATGCAGTTTTAAATTAATGTTCTTTCAAACTTGTACAGTTTATGCCTTTTATATTTGTGAAATTGCAATTAATGCAGAGCAGTGTTCACATATTTAAAAGAATACTTTGGACTTTCTGTTCTCAGCTTTTTGACAGCAAAGAGCTCATGAAGTACAACATGTGCCTGTCTGGTGTCAGAAAAGCAACACTATCCACTCTGAATGCTGTAGCTGTGGGCCTTTTAAATAAAGTGAGTGTAATAGGTCTTCTCAAGTAGCTACAAAAAAAAGCTTGGTCTGTGTGGAGTGTTTCATACATTTTTTGCTCTTTCAGGTATTCAGCTGGAGAGTGGTGGATTGTGACTTTGCGATTGGTCTGTGTACACTCCTACCCAATGCAGAAGTCTTCAAAATATTGTGGAAAATTATAGACAACACCTGGCAAAACTATGACAAAATTCTGGTAGGTATCATGATATCTACATGTCTTAGCTTTTTTGTCTTCTTTTAGTATGAAAGAGATGGACTAAATTTTTTATTTATTTATTTTTTGGTAATGCCAGGCGGTGGCGAGGATTGGTGCCAATCTTTGCAGTTTATATACTGAGCCAGAGCAGCAGAAGAAGTTTCTGTCTGTCATCACAGATGCAGAATGGGGAGTCAAGCTTGGAAAATTAGAGGTAATGAAGTTCTATTTAAGCTGAAGTTCTACTTTCCTTTAGAACATCTCAGCAAATTTAGAATATTGTTAAAAATGTCACTCGTTTAAGAAGGTGAAACACATTTTTCATAGATGTTAAGTACAAACATTTAAACAGTTTAAGCACTTGATTTCATTTTTTGTTCTAATTACTTAATAACATGCCTGCTGTCATTTTGCACATCTCCAGCGTTGCTGCCATTTTCCCATATCCACTACTGTAAAACGCTGTATTTTGATTATTTATTCTTCGGGTGGCTGCACAGTATTTATATTTGTAAAAACACTATACAGTACAGTATTTAATTTTTTTTTATTTCTAAACTCAATGGCTGTTTTTGAACGTCCGCCCTAATGGCTATATAGGGCACTATAAAGGGCCCTATATAGAGCACTATAAAGGGCCCTATATAGGGCACTATAAAGGGCCCTATATAGGGCACTATAAAGGGCCCTATATAGGGCACTATAAAGGGCCCTATATAGAGCACTATAAAGGGCCCTATATAGGGCACTATAAAGGGCCCTATATAGGGCACTATAAAGGGCCCTATATAGGGCACTATAAAGGGCCCTGTATAGGGCACTATAAAGGGCCCTATATAGGGCACTATAAAGGGCCCTGTATAGGGCACTATAAAGGGCCCTATATAGGGCACTATAAAGGGCCCTGTATAGGGCACTATAAAGGGCCCTGTATAGGGCACTATACAGGGCCCTATATAGTGTTTACACCATTTAAGATATCCGAACGACAAGTAGTGGACTCAAATGCATCTTGAAAAGTAGTGATCATCCAAGGTCACTAGATAAGCGGATATATCCCATAATGCTTTGCGAGAGCTCTCCTTGCAAAGCATTATGGGATTTGTTGTCACAGCAGCCCGCTGTCGGGTAGCGACAGTTGCGAAAATTAACAAAGATGGCACATACACCATGCAGGATCACGTGTCACGTGACCAACAGGGAGTGAAAAGTAGTGATCATCTGTCTGAACTGTCAGTTAACAGAGTTCACTATAAAGTCCATTATATAGTCCTCGCTCAATACAGTGATTTAGGTATTTGGGGGTTAGGGCAGCCATTGGGACACAGCCTATCACTTATTCTGTTATTCTTATACACTTTTAAGGTTCACATTTGTGTGACCTCTTTCGCTGTAATGCTCTGCTGCTGAAACACCACAATTTCCCCATTGTGGGACAATAAAAGGATGTTCTATTAGGGCTTACAGATGAGGAATACACAAAACACTGTGACAGATGAAATTTAAGATGTATTTTATGTGAACATCAGGTCCCAGGGTCTGGAGTAACAGTGGAGAGGCACAGAAACCTTTTCATTTTCCAGCTGATGTTGGCACCTTTCCACTGTGGCCCACATGGTGTGCTTGTTTGGTCACCAATCTGGCTTGACCTGACCCCTACAGAGAATCTATGGTTTATTTAGTTATTTTTTTCATGATTTAAAGACACCAGAGCCAAAAGGTATATGACTGAAGGCCACAATCTAAGAAACTTGGGCTTCCATTCCAACCAAGTACATAGAAATGAAGCAGTCTGGCATTTCTGTGGTAAATATCTCTGTATTCAAGCCTCTTAAGCTGCCTCTGTACATGCCCTGTACATGCCCTTTTGTGTCTCAGATCTCCATCCAGCCAGTGTTTCGTCAGCGTCCGGAGGTGAAGAGCTGTCTGATACCTGAAATGGTGAAGAACAAGATGATAACCCTTGAAATTATTCTCCAGTATTGCAGGTCAGACACATGGACATTTAATTTGATGTAGATACATTTTTTTTTCCCATTGTGGTTTGTGTTGCTTTTTTTTTTTTTTTTTTTTTTTTTTTTTTTTTTATCGCCCCTTCTCTCGCTGCAGTACATTTGGTCTGAACCGTGATAGCGTGATCAACCAGTACATTACAAAACTGCTGCTACTCCAAGAAGATGAGGACAGCAGCGGGGTCACTGGCTCAGGCCCGCAGGATGACGGGCAGACTCTCTGTAATGAGGAAGTTTTGGAACGAGTGCTACAGATTATCCCCATGTTGACAAGCCCAAGTGAGCTCGTCGACAGTCTGTGCACTGCCATGTTTAAGGTAATAAGACATTTAAGCCACTCGCTTTAAACTTGTTGGATCATCTTAAATAAGAACGTGTTTTACCTTAATTAATTGTTGTAAACATTACTTTTTTTCATCATCATCTGTGTTTAAAATACAAGAGCTGTAACATTGCTGTGCCGTGATGCCTTAGGGGCTGCATCTGTCCCTAAGACAGGAACATTATACTAGAAATTAGACTATAAGCTTTTTTTTTTCATTTGTTTTTTATCATACTATTAATTCACTCTGTAACGAAAAGTGTTTTCCATGTAATCTTTGAAATGACATCCAGCTCAGTCCTTACAACTACGAGCGGATTGAAGTGGTGCTAAAGATCATAAAGGCAGCGGATGAGAACGTTACCGCCTTCTCCCTCAGTCAGGTGGCATCAAAGACTCACTTTTGTTCTTATTAAACCGTAGCTTCCTTTGGGATGGGTTTAACTCACTGTGATTTTTCAATCTTATTTATAAGGCAATGGGCTTGCTTCAGCACCTGAAGTCCTACAAGAGAGTCTCTCCTCCCTCGGATGTGGAGAACACTTATCTTCTGGAAAATGGTCTTCTGCCAAACCCCTTGTCCAACAGCAGGCTGCCTTTCCATCTCCTCATTGAGACCAAACATTTCTGGAAAATAATCTGTGAGTTGTCCACCCCAGTTTCCATTTTCATTTTTTTTTCTTTGTGTGATTTTGTTAGTGAATCATAGGATTACCGTTTTCTTCCTGTTTCTAGCTCCTGAGCTGAGCGAAGAGACATTCCCCACACTTCTTCTGATTAGCAAACTGATGAAAGTAGGTTTCTCAAATCTATTCCCCCTCGAGGGTCCCTTTAATCTGCATTTTCATCCATCTGTTTATCACATCCACATAATCTGTTTATTAGTCATTCATCTTTATCAACTCATCGTATCCATAATTTGTTTCGCATTCCATTCACTTGCATTTGTTCATCTCTCCAACTATCTACATGTTTCTCAATTTCTCATTCCCCACCATCTCTCCTCCCTTTCTTTCCAGTCTGTATTGTTTCCAGGATCGACTTTTAAAGCCTGATCTCTTTTCCAGGTGAGCCTCGACAAGCTTCATATGTCAGCAGCGAACCACGTGTTTGAGAAGAAGTTGAGGCCGTTAATCTTGAAGCAAAGGAAAAAGGGTCAAGGGTACAGTCACAGTAAGGAGGCGTTAAAGGTGGCTGTGAACATGATGAAGTACATTCAATGCATCCAGAACCTGGAGTGGGCTACAGCCACAGCCCATAAGATAACACAGGAACTTCCACCAGGTTTGAGTTACTTTTTAACCTCTAAGCCAGTGTTTGCCAACCCTTATTGACTTATTTACCCCTTTGGGCATTTTTTTGGTACCATGAGTTCCCCTCTCAGTCAAAAGTATTGATTGGAACGCACAGTAACTGATCATAAAATTAAAAACTATGTTGCTTAATATTTTAATTTGAGCAATTAATTTTTATAATTCCATGCTTTCTATCTCAAATAAAAAAAAAACATAAATATGTTGCCTGGAAGTTAGTAAGGAATCAAAATAAATACAAAATAAAATCATATTATGAACCTTTATTTATAAAACTGGAGCTCCTCTGAGTAGCTCTCTTATAATCACATTTCAACTTGATGAATTGGAAACAAAATACTGAACAAATTGTATAGTCAAACTGACTTAATTAGTTTTACTTTGTTTTCATTAAACACCTGAGCTGCTTTGATGAGCTGCGATAGCTCAGTGTGAAAAAGCTGATACCAGGCTGTTCTCTACATCCAGTCTGTTCCTCTGCTTGGTTTGGATGAGTGTCAAAGCTGGAGCCGAAGAAAAACGTACTTTTTGGTTGATAAAAGCTTGTTTAATATTTCAACTGGTTCCTTACAACGCAAAACAGATCCTAGCCCTATTTTATTATCTAAGAAATAAAATGTTTTTATGTACCTCTTGCAATGCACTCACATACCACTAGGGGTACACATGCTCCCGGTTGGGAAACACAGGAGCTTTAAGCTACAGTAAGCTGTTTGGCTGCACATTCTGATTGTTATATTTCTCTACAGGCTTAGAGAAGATTCGCTCTCTTCGGTTCTGTTTGGATCTTGGAGAGCTTTGGCTTAAAGATCCAACTCTTGAGGTCAGTGTTGCTGTTTTTAGCTGCAGTTACATTAATTATTAGATCCATTATGTCTTAAATATTTTCAGATAGAAACAAACTTGACTGCATCTCGAGGTAAAGATATCCTATGGCCCTGTTCTTTTAGCCATTCATGGAACAAAGATCCAGATGTTTCCTCATCTCTACTGAAATATGTGCTCTGGTCAGATCAGAATAGGACAGGATTAGTGCAAAATTAAGGTTAAATATCTAAAATCCATATCTGGAGATTTCTCTCATAAAACCAGAAAATAATCAGACAGAGAAGAACAATGGCTGTCTCGTTCCCACACCTGAACCTCCCTGTGGAGGGAGCAGTGGAGGAAAACAAAGGAGAGAACCTACAGTCCACAGAGGTTTCTTGAAAGAGGAGTGGTCTAATAGTTATGTTATTATTATTTCCAGTTTACTGGACTGTTTATGTAGATGATGCTGAGCAGATGAATCCAATTAATCGTTTCAGCCCTAAAATAAACCATTATGCTTGGAAAAGATCCCTTCTTTATTTATAGGTCTTTATTAAAACTAAGTTTTTTTTCTTCTAAGGTTATACTGCTCTAGTATTGTTTTATGCCTTTGCATCCAGTAGCACCTAAGTTTAGTTTTTTTTTATTAGTTTTAACCTGTTTGGCGTTTGACACAGGAGGCTTCAAGAGCCCGAGGGGAGAGCTTCCTGTCTAAACTGAAGCTGCAGTTTCAGCGCTCTGCCACGGAGAATACTCTGATAAGCAGTAAGCTGAGCAGCCCGGAGCTCATGAAGCTGACCGGGCTGCCCGCCAGGCTCATCATGGCCCTGTATGAGCACAGCAGCGTGGAGCAGCGATACAGAGATGCAGAAGGTCACACGTTTCCTGGTGAGCCTCTCCATTCTGAAATTACTGAACATTTTGGTGTCCAAGAATTATTCGCTTCCTTCCTGCTGGTTCCAGCAGTATAGCTGATATGCTGTTATGGTGTCTTTTTTTTTTCTTTTTTTCTGTTTGTTTGCTCATTCTTAAAAAATCTGTGTCTCAGACATACATGCTGCTGTGAGGGAAATAGCCAAAATCAACAATGTGGATCTTGTGAAAATCCGCACCATGCTGTTAGAAAAATGGATCTGCAAAACAGGTCCAGCTGTAACCAAGGTTTGTCCCTTTTTTTGTAATGACTTTTATCTCTTCAATGTTAGTAGATCTTTTCTTTTTTTTATGATTTTTTTTTTTCCTAAAAACAAAAAGGAAATGGGAAATCAGGACTGTGTCACCAACATTGAGGAGGATCCAGACTTAATGAGGTAATTCATTATCGCCATAGTTTCCATGCAGCATTTTAAAGTAACCTTGAAAATGAGTCATTTAAACTGGTGCAAGTTTACTATTTACACTTTCAGATGGATTCAGGAAGTACAACACCTAAATATGTCCGTTTATCCTTTTTCAAGAACTAAAGTCCTTACAAAAATCTCTATTGTCAGATCCAGGACCAGTTAACAGACTAAGTCACCTTCTTGTTGTTTTTTTTTCTCCCGGTTTTAGGCTTTATCCACAAATGTAGTTACATTCATTTATTTACATCATGTCTTGCTTTAGTTACCAGAGAGCAAAAACAGTCTTACTTTGACTGGACTGTTTTGCTTGATGGTCAGAAAGAACGTCTCCAAACATGCACCCAATCAAACTCCCTGCCTGCTGCAGTCTTCCACATAATCATAGCAAAATCAGGGTTTTCATGGTTAGGTTATGATGATTCAGTTGTTATTGAACTTTAAACTGAAGGTTTAGTCATACTTCCAGAGATGGATACCAGTGTAACAGCATTTGGTTTTACCTCAGCTTTAAGTAAAGGGTTTTTATTATCAAAGGAAGTGTCTATTTTTACCCTGCATTCACCCCAAAGGGAGAGGACAGCTTTATGGCGTCCAGAAGGGCAGCGCTTAGCTCAATCAATAACCAATAAAAATCTGTTCTCCAGAAGTTAATCACTCATTTAAACAGATTCATATATTTTACTTTGTTTTGTGAATGAAAAAAAAAATCTAAATTATGATTTTCAGTTTCCTGTCTATGTGTGACTCCTGTAGGGTGGTCTACATCCTGAAGTCTCACTCTGTAGATGATGCCATCCGCCTTCTGATCCCCATTCTTTCTGCTGAAACCTGGGTAAGTTTGAAAACTACACCTTTGACTCAGAAAAGATACATTTTCCTGTAAAAGTGACTGATATTTGACTCCAAGCTAGACAGACTGATAAATGCAGTTGTTAAGGAAGTCCTTTTTTTATGTCAGGATTCTAGAAAAGTTAAAGCCTTACTTGGTCAAAGGAAAAGACATCCATGCATGTTTAAGATCTTGCTAAGTTTAGTACAATCCCTCCCACAGTTATTTTCTACCTTAAGTGCCATCATGCTGACAGAGATTTTAAAATATTACTACAGGACAGGAATATCTTTTCAGTTTGTTGTCGATGTTAAAAAATGAAGTAAATACATAAAAAAAAAAAAAAAAAAAAAACATTCCTATCCCCTGGATCCTCATGATTAGTTAGCTTCCACTTAATCTTTGAAATAGACCTGAATTGGAAAAGATCCAAAAATAGTTAAATTGCCAAAAGGAAAAGTAAAGAGTTTCCCTTTGCTGATGGTTCAAAATGGCTGCTTTGCTTCTAAAATGTAAGAATAGCTGCAGAATAACTGTTTTAAATTTTTGATTGCTGCCTTTTTTGCATCGATCGGTGGTTTTTCAATGCATTTACAAACAATTAGAACAGTGATGTTTGCTTTTATATCCCAGACTGCTTTAGTCTGGGATTCTGCTGTAAATATATCGCAAATGTATTTCCTCCAGCTGTTACTTAAAGGTATAGTGGAGGATGTTCTTTTCATCAGGGTTTGATTTTCTGGACCATTAAAATAAGCAGTCCTCCTAATTATAAACAATAGGGCCATCCTATGTGATCCTCCTCATTTTCATTTACCGGTGGTGAGTCTGACATAGTGGAAAAATGGCAAATCTTCTTTTGGAAAGTAAGCTTATATGCGTGAGGAGAAATGGACTCGGGCATGCTCTAGCAGGTACAGGGTTGCTCATGTGCATTTTTATTTTACAGTGGAGAAGGCGTGTCTTTTCAAAAACTCACAAAAAAAATCATCCACTAAACCTTTAATTTAATAAAATACTTTAAAGGTTAAGGTTGGGAGCGCCGGAACATGAAAATATTCAAGGGATGCTAATATCTAAAAACTTAATAGCATTATTCTTTTAAAATGCAAACTATACAAAAATACCTTTTTAGTAATGTTGACGTATTTAACATATATAGCATAAATATTTAGCATACATAGTTGTAAAAGTCTGGTGTGATGTCATTTTCACATCTTGGAGGTTAATGGAACATAGGAAAAATGATGACCATTTCATTTGTTTGCATTTACCTTGCTGTTTCTAATGATGAGGATATTTCTATTGAGTTAGACTGAAGGCAGCTTAGATAGCACTTTATACTTCAGTTTGAAAACACTGGTGGTGAACTACCGATCCCATAACAGCCTGATAATAATGTGAGATGCAGCCGCTTGTTGGTTGTATGAAAAGAGGTTGTGTGATTGTTCAGTCTAGGGCTGCAACTAACGATTATTTTGCTAATCAATTAATTTGTCGATTAGTTTTTTGATTAATCAATTATTAATAGGATAGCACAAGGATCCTTAAAGAAAACTTTCTATGAAATTAAACCAGGTGAAACTAAAACTTTTCCCTTGAGGAGTTCTGGTTAGAGCATATTGACAGACAAAAACGTTTTGGTTTTTTATCTTAAATGCAAAATTTTCATTTTGATATAATCACTTCTCCAAGAGGGTCGTTCTGTCAGCTAAAAGCAGGTTTTAGAGTCTATCCAACTAATGATTAATCAATTACTAGATTAATTGATGATTATTTCAATAATTGATTAATCACGATTAATCCAATTAATTGTTTCAGTCCATGCATCACTGATTGTAGTTTGAAGGAACCCGCCTGAGTTGTTGGATTGTAGTTCTCTAGTCAGAGCTGAAACAACATTTATTCTATTCATAGGTGTATGATTTTTATTTTGTCCTTGTTTTAATCTGTTCTTTTATTTAACTCAATCATTGGGTCATGTAGGTTTCTGAAGTTTCTGAATGAAGTTTTTTGTGTCTCTTTTTACGTCATTTCCAGTACATAAGAAAAAATTATGAAAGAAAATATATGATTGATATTTTTGTCTTTACAATAAAAAATGATAAAACAAATGCTCTCTGCAGCCGCTCAGCTCATCAGGACCTCGCCTGACTTTCTGCCACCGAACACGAGTGCTGCTTTGTCTCATCCGCCTTGCTGACGCCGCGACTGTGGAGGCTCAGCTGCAGATCCCAAGGAGCAAACACGAGTGAGAAAGGGGGGGGGGCTGGAAAAATTAGAAACATCAGTTCTGTTATCAGAGGATGAACTAGAATTAATGCTCTGTGTTTTATGTTCTCATGCAGATACTATCTGAAGTCCTACATCTTTGTGTCTCAACTTGAGGCATTGAATATCCCCTACACCGTACAGGCCTTCATCAGCAGTCCCAAAGAGGGCTTGATTAAAGGACTGTGGAAGAACCACAGTCATGAGCCGCAGGTAGGGGGCATAAGATAACGTCTGAGCTGTAGGTGTCTATTCTCTGTGCCAGTGAGCTTACCAGGTTGTTGTGGTTGCAGGCTGTGCGTCTGGTAGCTGACCTTTGTCTGGAGTACCAGGTCTATGATCCTCAGCTGTGGAATAGTCTGCTTCAAAAGCTGCTGGGTTTCAACCTGGTGAGGGTCCATGCATGGGTTTTTCTCATTTTGCATAGCAATATTCTCTTTTTGTTTTTTCTTTTAGAGACGATAAAGTGACAGAGCTTTTAAAATGTTTTTGAAGGAATATATTATACCTATTTCCTGTTTGGTTTTAAAAACCTGTGTCTGTATGCATTTGCTCTGCAGATCAGCCAACTCCAGAAGGTGCTAGAAGCAGCTGTGGCAGTACCAACTTTATGGGAGGTATTTTTACAGGGACCTTGTTTCCTTTTTCAAATAGATTTCTATTCTAAAAAAGCTTAATTTATAAAAAAAAATACAAAGCATTAGACCTGTTAAATAGAAGTTATTGAATGCCCCATTCAATCAGATGTTTGGCCAAAACAAGTGGATTAAAAAATAATAAAATTTACCATAACCACAACAGAAGATATAGTTTTACTTAAGCTAGGCTTAAAGTTCTGAGGTTTTTTTATGCATTTTGTTTCCAGATCTCCAGTTTCTCCAGGACTTGGAGGAGTGCGATTCTGACACCTTTTGTCTCAGGTATGACATGTAAAACTTTAAGACAAACATAGACGAAAAGATAAATATTTCTGCCAGGAGTGTGGATACATGTTTAACGGCATCTTGTTGATCTTTAGAATTATTTTACATATCTCCAAAACAGCAGTTGCTAACTCTCCATTTCTGCCTGCGTGGATTAGTGTGATAGAAATAAAAATGTTTGTCTTTGTCGGGTTTTTCAATGACAAATCTAATTGATAAAAGAAATCGTACATGTACAGGACATACTTATAAAAATATGATGAGAAGAAAATCAAAAACTTAAATTAAATAGTATAGTAAAGGGTAAAAAGAAAAAAAGTTCAGATGAAAACTAGCATACACAGATCAAATTAAAAAGAACAAAATCAATATAAAAAGAAAGCTGGAAAAACACAGTGAGAGACGATAAAACTACAGATAGATGGGTAGAAATACTGATTCAGCCTGTTAGACCTGTTATCTCACAGATATTAACGTAGAGTATTGTAACATCTGGATTGTCTGCAGAAATCTCTATTTGTTGGCAATAAGGGATGTGACAGAAATGTACTATCTTCCTCCTGTGTTGCTAAAAAAACAAACTGTTGGTCATTGTTTGAGGTTTGTTTTTTTTTCCCAACGAGGCAATGAGAATTTTCTATAAAGCCTTTAACTTTAATGATTTTAGTTGTTTCTCTTTCATGTTCCTTAATTGTTTTTTTGTTGTTGTTTTTTTCCGATTTCTTTTCCTGATGACAGCATCGGTTCCTTTGAGCCCGGACCAACAAGCTATGCTCTACAGGTCTTTTGTTCTGCTGTTGAAGTAGGTGTATTTCATGCAGACTCTGAAGTACTAACACTGCTTATATGAGATATTTAATCTGCATTTACTCTGAGATATTTGAAGACAAACTAAAATATGTCTCATATCATTGATTTATTCATAACTCCACTCCACTACTCGAGATGAGACCAGATAAGGTTGGGCAAGTATTTGATTTTTTGTTCTGGTGCTTTTTGGAAAATTATGTTTTGACTTTTCCAGGTCATTACAAGTATGGGGGAAAATAGTCTGCAAAAAACATGCCTTGCCAAAGTTTTATACCCTTTAACTTTTTCATATTTTGGCCAGAGATTTCTCTATTGTACATAAAAATCTGAAAGGTGTGGTGTGTATTCGTTTTGACCCCCTTTAGTCTCCATTTCATACCTCAACCTGTGGCTGTAGTTAAAACTAGATTTAATGGGCCACAAATCATACTGAACGCAATTTGAGCAGCAAAGAAGCATCTGCTGCTTCATCTTTGTCCACATTAAGGTCAAGTAAAGTGTGTCCAGATGTGCTGCTCCTGTGTTCAATGGCAGAAAGTGTCTTTGCTATATTTGTTGTGATAAATCGGCAAAAAATTAGTTTAATTTTTTTAAGTGAGAAAGTCCACCTCAAAACATCGTCCGTGCAGTCACTTCCTCAAGATTTATGAAGCTGCCTTTAAAAGTAGTATTTCACTGTCGGAAGAGCTCAGACCCCCGCATACCGGCGGTGCGCTGTCACCGGGAATCCCCAGCAGCTAGGGCATTTTCCCCTACTGTTCATGGCGTCTGGAAGTAGATGTTAGCGTTTTTCAGGTATGTGGTCCAAACTGCAAGCATTAGAATAATAAAAGCGAACATATTTTGCCGGCAGGTTACGACATTTAAGTTATTTAAGGCATTAATAATCAGTTTCAGTGGAGTGATCATAGTGCTCCCTTTTCTTTATGCATTAAAAAAAATCTCCTTGCCTTTTATGATGTTCTGAAACAATTAATCAAAGTATTAATTGATTATTGAAAGAACTATCAACTGACTTATTGATCATTTATTCGTTACCAGGAGTATAGAGACTCAAACATGCCTTTATCTTACAGAGATACCAAGTTAGAGCAGTGATTACACCAACATTGTAAAATGTATATATAAACATTGGGCATTTAGGAAAACTTTTTCGTCTGCCAATATGCTCCATACAGAACTCCTCAAGCAAAAAAAGCTTCAGTTTCACCTGCTTAAATTTCATAAAAAGTTTTTAAGGAACCTTTGGCTTATTAATTGATTAATGGGGGGAAAAATCATTCTGAAGCGAGTCACGCTCCTCAGATGCTTGAATACTATGAGGCGCTGCTCAGATGCTTTAAGATGGGCTACAGCAGTGGTTCTCAAACTTTTTCTGTCATTCCCCACTTTGGACAAGGGGGAATTTTCAAGCCCCGCCTGTCCCCATCGCCCCAACACAATGCTAATGAAATATGCAACAATCTTAAAATTTTCCAATTTTATTGAAGTAACAAGTAGTATCTAAATACAAACTATCTACATCAAATAACAGCAAGCTAAAAAATAAAGAAAATAAAAATGCAGCTGTGTCAAAATTTGTATCAAGCTCAAAGATAGAAAAAATTAAAGTGCCACTCTGCAATCTGTTAATAAAAGAAAAGAAGTGAAATCCATCTGGCAATACAGGTCTATTTATCCCTGCATTAGTGGCTGCAATGAGCCTGTTTTGCATTGCACAGTTTCTCAAAACGGGGTTGCAGGCTTGATACTGCCACTCTCAAGTCATGCTCAATGTTCAGCTGAGATCTGTACAGGTGCTGGTCATAAAATTAGAATATCATGAAAAAGTAGATTGATTTCAGTAATTCCATTTAAAAAGTGAAACTTGTATATTATATTCATACATTACATACAAACTCATATATTTCAGATGTTTATTTTGTTTAATTTTGATGATTACAAATGACAACAAATGAAAATCTCAAATTCATCATATCAGAAAATTAGAATATTGTGAAAAGGTTCAAAATTGATGGCCCCTGGTGCCACACTCTAATCAGCTAATTAACTCAAACCACCTGCAAAAGCCTTTAAATGGTCTTTCAGTCTAGTTCTATAGGCTACACAATCATGGGGAAGACTGCTGACTTGACAGTTGTCCAAAAGACGACCATCGACACCTTGCACAAGGAGGGCAAGACACAAAAGGTCATCGCTAAAGAGGCTGGCTGTTCACAGAGCTCAGTGTCCAAGCACATTAATAGAGAGGCGAAGGGAAGGAAAAGATGTGGTCGAAAAAAGTGTACAAGCAAGAGAGATAACCGCACCCTGGAGAGGATTGTGAAACAAAACCCATTAAAAAATGTGGGGGAGATTCACAAAGAGTGGACTGCAGCTGGAGTGAGTGCTTCAAGAACCACCACACACAGACGTATGAAAGACATGGGTTTCTGCTGTCGCATTCCTTGTGTCAAGCCACTCTTGAACCACAGACAGCGTCAGAAGCGTCTTGCCTGGGCTAAAGAGAAACAGGACTGGACTGCTGGTGAGTGGTCCAAAGTCATGTTCTCTGATGAAAGTAAATTTCGCATTTCCTTTGGAAATCAAGGTCCCAGAGTCTGGAGGAAAAGAAGAGAGGCACTTCATCCACGTTGCTTGAAGTCCAGTGTAAAGTTTCAACAGTCAGTGATGGTTTGGGGTGCCATGTCATCTGCTGGTGTTGGTCCATTGTGTTTTCTGAGGTCAAGGGTCAACGCAGCCACATACCAGGAAGTTTTAGAGCACTTCATGCTTCCTGCAGCTGACCAACTTTTTGGAGATGCAGATTTCATTTTCCAACAGGACTTGCCACCTGCACACAGTGCCAAAGCTACCAGTACCTGGTTGAAGGACCATGGTATCCCTGTTCTTAATTGGCCAGCAAACTCTCCTGACCATAACCCCATAGAAAATCTATGGGGTATTGTGAAGAAGAAGATGCAATACACCAGACCCAACAATTCAGAAGAGCTAAAAGCCACTATTAGAGCAACCTGGGCTATCATAACACCTGAGCAGTGCCACAGACTGATGGACTCCATGCCACGCCGCATTGCTGCAGTAATACAGGCCAAAGGAGGCCCAACTAAATACTGAGTGCTGTACATGCTCATACTTTTCATGTTCATACTTTTCAGTTGGCCAACATTTCTATAAATCCTTTGTTTTTATTGGTCTTCAGTAATATTCTAATTTTCTGATATGATGAATTTGAGATTTTCATTTGTTGTCATTTGTAATCATCAAAATTAAACAAAATAAACATCTGAAATATATGAGTTTGTATGTAATGTATGAATATAATATACAAGTTTCACTTTTTAAATGGAATTACTGAAATCAATCTACTTTTTCATGATATTCTAATTTTATGACCAGCACCTGTATTTTGTTTTCAGTGAAGCAACAGTTGAAAAGCCCATCTCACAGAGATATGATGTGGCAAAGGGAAGAAGAATGCACACAGCTCTCTGCCCGATGAGTGGATACTCCCTCTCCACTCCAAACCAGAATCCACTATTAGTCTGAGCATTAAACCTGAGCCTCAGGGTGGAGTCAGACCAGTGGCGGCTGGTGAAAAATATTTTTGGTGGGGCTGATATAGCCTAGTGTATGTCTCCAACTAATCCGGAATAAGAATTCAAATAAACAATTGGACAATACATACAATTTACAGTAATGATTTAATTTACTATATAATAACAGTAACAGTGATGATTTGGGTCACTGTGACGGGGTTCTTTGGCCTCCAAGAATCCAGTCTCAGTCGGGTTACCGGTGTTGGTGATTTATTGAGCTCAAAACAGGGTGCAAAAGAAACTAAACATACAAGATACTCTGGGCCTCAGCCTCCCTCCAGTTACCAGCAATGTAACAAAGAAACAGAAAACAAAAATTGCCGCTTTTCTTCCCACAGCCCTCATTAAATATTTTAAGCCCCTCACATCAGGCTCTCTTATTTCTGATTTCTTCTCATTAATCAGTTTTGTCCATATATTACCTCCACAAACAATCGATGTACAAAAACAAATAATTTTTACAACTTAATTCTTTTACACAGATTCATTGACTTATTCAATTACACCAAACTGGGTTTGAACCCAGCAAAGACGCAGCCAGACTGAAGATGACAAGTCCCCGTAGCATAAACACGTACACACCCACACCCACCCACACACACACACACACACACACACACCCCCCCCCCACACACACACACACACGGCTAACCCCACTGAAATATTAAGTGTGCACCCTCAATACGCCAGCAGGTAACCAGGAACAGCTTGTGTGTTTTAAGTTCATGGAGCTACTGGTCTCAGAGCGAGTGTATTGGTCCTCACAAACACAGTATAACAGGAATGTGTGTGTGGTGCGCAAAGTTAGAGAGGTTGTTTTAAGCGACGAGGTGGATTCGTCACAGTCACAATAACCATGACATGAAATGTTCATATCCTACAACAGGGATATTCTTCTGGCAAACGGGTAGATAAATAAGGATCTCACCGAATTTGGTGGAAGCTGCATCTCGGTCGTTACATTCGCCATCTTCCCTCTAATTGTCTGCACCTGCGCTTGGGTGCAGAAGCCTGTTAAAGCGCAGTATTTTCAGCGCCCCAATACCATAAAGTTCCGAGACGCTGATTGGCCATTAAATTCACCTAGCAATAGTACATGATTGACAGATTCTCTGCAAATGTGGGTCAGTCTGATAAGCGCCCCCAGAACAGAGACGGTAGGAGTCTGTCTGTGGAAATCCACAAATTAATGACAGTAGATAGGGAAATGTAGTTTATATAATTTGTTTTGCTTATAGGTACACAGTCTAGAGAGTAAAACTGACATTTATGAGTTAATTTCTAAAAATATATTTTACGTTTCTCTCTTCTTATCAGGGAGGGCGGTGCCCCAGCGCCCCCTATGGGCCGGCTGCCACTGAGTCAGACGTCATTTCAATGAACTGGTCCTATTTATTTAAGATAAAATATTTCAAATTCAGTTATTTATGATCAACCTGCGCCGTCAATCCCGGCGCATGTGCGCTTTATTTGCAGTCTGGACGCTGAGGGTAAACATGCTGTGTCTCTGCAGCGCTGAGAGGGACTCCTGCGATAGCGGGGGAGAACGGGGTTGGGACGGAGGCGCCCCACGGCAGCACCTGCCGCTGGAGGACAAGAAAAGGAACGATACGTGCTTTCACGTAAGAGTCTCCAAAAGTCGCTAATTTGTCGCTAGTCGCTTTTTTGAAAAAGAGTCGCTGGAGGGGTCTGAAATATAGCGACAAAGTCGCTGAGTTGGCAACACTGGGGCGCGAAAGTTTATTCCGTTACAAATAATATGCCGACGTCACGTCAATCATTATTTTGGCACTTCAGTTCCAGGTGAAATTTTTCTCATATCTAATGTTCTTTTAATTAGACTGCATGTAGGCTATTAATGATTACTTTGTGGGTTTGATTGGTCTAAAAAGCGGCAACATACAGCTATAAGGACAGTTTGCTCTCACACATTCTACATTTATAGTCACACACACACACACACACACACACACACACACCGGAACTTGGCGCGCCCCACCTGTCACGTCTCAATTCCCCACCAGTGGGTCGCGCCACACACTTTGAGAACCGCGGGGCTACAGGAACTTTTGATGCACCTTAAAGCACTTTGACCTTAGACTTTACATATAAACCGGCTGTTTCTGCTGCTCAAATCCCACTCGGTGTGAATGTAGCGTAAACCATTCAGTTGTAGCTCCCACTCTGTTTTTGTCACAATTCTCTACTTAACTTTTACCTGCAGAGATGCAATCAATTGAAAATATCACTTTTGTCTGTTTTGTAGACTTATGTTTAATATAGTGATGGTATTAGCACTATAATTCTATATTTTTATGTTCTGAAGGTGTCCCTTCCTGCTGAATCTGGACCTGATGGGAATTGCAAATCGCTTTGTTCAGTTTAATCTTCCTGCCTTTGCTTTGGGAACCCTGCTTCTCATCACCTGTCCGACTAAAAAGGCACAGCAGATCCAGGCAAGTGAATTAATATCCATTTTTACTAATGAAAATGTATTTTCAGGGTTGTTTTGTATTTTTTAATAACCAGATGCTGTTTCTGCTGTTTCCAGGACTTTCTGTCCATGTGCAACCCGGTGGCTGTCCTGGAGCAGGTGGATGAATTTATGAGCACTGGTGAATTGGCAGGAATGCCTTCACAGGTCACTGATCTTTCTGTTTTGTCACTAGTTTAATGTCTTTTACTCAGATTTTCTTCTTTGTGTCAATTCAGTACTGTAAAAAGGTACTTCCTTTCAAAGCTATCTTGATATGAGTCATTGATTATTAGGTTACCAAAAAGCTGAACAGGAAATTATGCTGTATGTGTTTGATGGTGTGAAGTTAAAGAAGCTGTTTGCAATTGTATCAAACTCTTCAAGGCACCACATTGTTAACATGGATGAAATAAACAGGAATACAATTAAGTCTTTTTAACAGATTTATTTATTGTTTCCTGAAAACCAGTATGTTTCTTGTTTGTTCTTTCAGATCAGAGAGACTGTATTCAAATTCATCAACCAAAACGGACAGCACCAGAAACTGTTGAAAACAAAACACTTCGACCGCCTGAAGCAGCTGGTTGTATCCAGTGGTAAACCCGAGCAGGTGAAGGAGTTGGTGGACTGTCTGATCAGCCAGAACTGGTACGGCATCATTCTTTAGTCATTTCATTTTTTAAATCTGTTGTATATATTTCTGTTATCTTTAATATAAATTAATAAGGCCATACAACACAAAAAATGGGTTAGACATTTGATAAACAGGGACACAGAAACAGGCTTCTGTTATAGGACTATTTTATATAAAATTGCCCCAAGATATAGTTTTTAAATGTGTTAGATTGTTGCTCTATGGATCATGCAGAGCTTCAGTATTTTTAATCAGTGATATTTGAAATGTGTTATTTCTTCTCTTTAGTCAGGATGATGCTGATTCGCTCACTCGTGAATACCTGAAGCACAGAGAGCAGCAACGCGGGAAAACGCTGCCTAACGGCTCGCATTCAGAGGGCTGCCTGAAGGTACTTTCATATACTTTCATATAAGCAACCTGTTACTATTCTGTGCTGGTGATAAACCAAACTTATTGCTGTTTTTATTTCTTTTGTCCAGGAGTTTGTCAACATGACGAATGGCGTATGTGGATAAAGCATCATTGTTTTTAATGTTATATTTATACATTCTGTCTCTGCCTTCACTCAACTGAGACGCAGTATTTGCACTCAACCTGTGTTCTATATATTGTTCATTTAATGTAGAATAAACTCTTCTTTCTTGAAAATTTCTTTAAGCTTTTTTTTTCTTTTTTTAATGAAAGAATTAAAAAAGAAGGTGTCTGTATTTTATGCCTAACATCTTTTGATGAAAGAAAAAAAGACCAGAAATCTGCATCAGCCAGGAAAAGTTTAACTGGTTCATCTTTAACAGACTTTGCTTTTAAAGAGTCTGTGTTTAGCAAAAAACTATCTAGTTCTGGTCTGGCAAAGTCTTAGACTTTAAAAATGAGACTGTGTGAGGGATTTGCACAAACCAGGCAGAAAACCACTGATTTTTTTCAAAAAAAAGTCTTAATTTATTCCCAAAATGTAAAAAAAAAAAAAAACATTATAAACTGGGCCCAAAAACAGAAGTCAACAAAACAGAATTCAATTCAGGCTTTAACATAAAGAACTCAAGCACAAACTTACCTAACAAACAGGACATGAGAGAAACTTAAATAGTGGCTGATCAGACCACACAAAGGGGATAACTGATTAATAAACAAATAAACTTAGTTAAACAGATAAATACTGGCCAGACACTAAATTCACTAAAATTTTAAATTTAACTAATTAACAAAATTACCCAAACAAAGAATATTTAAACAAATGATAAACAAATTTCCCTTCCCATTACAAATGGTTTGACCAAATGATTAGCCTGCAGCAACCAATTGAGGAAAGCTGGAGCTCATTGCAGCCATCCACCAGCAGATCCCAAGGAAACTGGCAACTCAAAGAAAAGAAATTAATCAATTGCATCTTGACAAAAAAAAAACAACCTGACAAAGTTAACTAAATGTGTGCACTGCAAAAACTGTCAAAACTTAAAGTCAGGCTAATGAAAATATATGAAGTGTGCAACTAATTTTGAAAATGAAAAATGTAAGAGTTACGACTCAGCTTCAGAGTGTGACAGCAGGCTGTCACAGACTAAAATAAAAGAAAGCTCTTAAAAATAATAATAGTTCTAAATAATATATACAGTGTCAATGTATTTTACGCAAAAACTACTTTTTTTTTTTGCTTAGATTTCCAAAAATCCTTATCTAATAGGGGGAAAAAACAGAAAAGTTTAATTTGAAAAATTCTATAATTTTCAGATCATGTAGGATACCAAATCGAATAAATTTTCCATTTAAAAAATCCTTTATTGTCAAAAAATTGGCTAGATTCAGCTAATTGAAAAAGCTAAAGTAAAACAGGAAAAAAAAAAAAAAATTGATGTTGGAGATTATTATCGGTAGTCATCCAGGACATAGTCATTTAAAAAAAACAATCCATTGCCCTTTGTTTCCAAGTTTGAAGATATTTTGCTTCCCGTCCAGGAAGCTTTTTCAATTCAAAATGTCAGAAATGCCGTTGAATTCAAAGCTTTATAGAGTAGTCCAAAATACCTTGTTCTGGCTTAGAAGACATGCAATTGAACCGGAAGAATGGGTCCGCACCTTAGGAATGGGGAGTCGTTTGGGTTCTTTGTTAGATTACATGGCTTGCAACTGAAAGATAAGGTTTATTTGTAGTCTGATAATTGTGCAGCTTAATCTTTACAGACATTTGCTGCATCCAAATGTTGTTGTTTTTTTATTAAGATCTGTGCTATTCAGAAAATATTTGGCACTTAAAGCCCTGGCAGCCCAGGTATACTGTGAATACAAACCTACAAAAAAGTTGCATCAAAATAAGGTACTTGGTGAAAAAAAAGTACTAATAAAATTCCCGTAGAATACTTAGAAAAGACATAGAACTTAATTAATAGTGTTGTAAACAAGCTGTGTGGTTACGCAAAAAAAAAAAAACTCAAATAAGAGCAGTGCAGAAAATAGAATAGAAACACCGGTATACCGGAATAGAAAATGCATAGCTGTAAAGGAAGGAACAATGTGCATCTTATTTTCCTTTTCATTCAAAAACCATGCTAACTGGGGATACATGACTCCTTTCTCATGGGATTTTAGTCCTAAATCTGCAGATCTGAACCCATCTCACGTGTTTTTCTTTCTGTGCTCTCACCGGTTGCTGTCTGTGGCAGATGCAGAGTTTTCCTACAGATGTTCTTAAAAGCTGGGCTGGAGAAATAGTAGACCACGGGGTCCAGCACGCTGTTAAGATATGTCAAACTGATGGTGATGTAGAAAACTGTGGTTGGCTCCTCCATATCAGCACACTTAAAGCCTTGGGACATCTTGATCCACATGGCAAGGACAGTAATGTTGCTTGGAAGGAAGCAGAGGATGAACAGCACCACCACCACCACGATGAAGTACAGAGCTTTTCTAAACTTGGCCTGGTGGGCCAGCTGTCTCCTCCTCAGGTGGCTGATGATGTGGAAGGTGCAGTAGAGAATGACTAGCAGAGGCATGTAGAAAGAGAAGAGAAACGTGAACTTATGCCAGGACAGGTTTCCTTTGGTCTTTGTGTCCACAATGAAGCTTTCGCAGTAGGTGGTGTTGATGTGTTGCAGCGAGAAGACATGGACTGTCATTGTGATGGGGACCAGCCACAGCCCAAGCGCTCCCACCATAGCTTTACCCACACTTAGAGAGTTGATGGGATGGTGAGGATGCACCACACGCATGTACCTGTCCAAGGCGATAGCCATCAAGAAGAAGGTGCTCCCGCTGCGATTCATGGCCAGCATGAAGAGGCTAATTTTACAGACTGCTTCACTGAACCTCCATCGGATCCCTGAGAGATAATAGCTGATGCGGAGGGGGAGAGCCAGGATGAGCATGAAGTCAGTCACTGCCAGGTTGAAGAGCAGCACAGTGCTGCTTTTCCAGGGCCTCAGTTGGAAGCAAAAGATGAACAGAGCCAAACCATTTCCAAACAGACCCAGGATGCACTCGGTGACCAGTAGCGGAGGGAGCACTCTAGTCAGCACGGCACCACTGAAGTTGCACGGCATGTTGATGTTCTGTGTTGCTTTGATGCCTGCAGAGGAGAGAATGAGCCCAGATAATACCCCACCCATTTGGAAAGAGGAAAAAAAGAAAAAGAAAAAAAAATAAACAAAATCATGGTAGTTGTGTAGTTTCAGTTTTTGGGGGAAGCCAAAAATTTTACTTTATACTAACATTTAATGAAACCTTTTTGCACATGCTTTTTTAAAATAACAAGACTTCTTTTATTTCTGATCATGTTACTGTTTAGAGCCACAGTCCAGCTAAATCAAACCCATTGATCAAATTGGATCAAAAGCTTCTTAACATTGTACACAAGTTATTTTAGAGAGAATAAATTCCTACCACTCAGTGACAGCACTTCTCATTTTTGCAGCAGCTATTTTTCCTCTTACAAGAAACATTTCGACCACAAAGTATGCAGTCTCCTCAAACAGAAATAGACGCATTAATAATAGAAACTCCCCCAGAGTGAGGAGACAAAAGTTTGTTTTGCCACAGAATTCAAAGCACAGCAGCCCTTACAAGACAAATTTTCCACAAAGCATGATACTGCATAACAAAAGTTTTGATAGATTTTGTGCTTTTCCAGATTCTCTCTAATTGAAACCAGCAGAATTTAATTCTGGTCTAGAGTTAAAACTTACATCTGTGCATCTGCTTCCCTTCTGCAGGTCAGCCACCTCCAAAATGTGCTGAAACTAGGTGTGGCAGTACCAACTTTATGGGAAATTTTGTTACAGGGAATCCATTTCTGTTTCCAAATACATGTACACACCTATGCTAATGTAGCAGGAGGACATCTCCTCATGCTCCTGGAGGCAGGAGGGTTGGCTGCAGGGGCAGTGTCAGCCAATTGCCTCTGGAGGGCACCCTATAAAAGGGGCGTGGTGGCATTATCGGTTACCCTCTTCCTCTGGTTCCTCCGCTTTGCTTCCGGGTCGCCTCGGCTGCTGGTTAACGGTACAGGTAGGTTGCAGTGGCTGCTAGTGCGCTCAATGGATAATTGTGGTGCTGATGTGCATGTTTGGTGGTTTGTTAGACAAGACGTTCCCGGTTACAGCGCTTGTGATCAGCGCGTCAATCAAACCTGGCCGTAATCGGCAGCTTTGCCTCCATGACAATTTGACACATTCACTTCCTGCTCCTCCACAAAGTAGTAATATTTTGTTGACAGGTCTGTGTGGGGCCTGGTGATCTGGGGAATTCCAGCGGCGTTAACTTGGGAGAAACAACACAGCTTTGACACGTTCCAGCTGCAGCTTTTTGATAGCTCACGGCAGTCGGACGCCTGAGCTGCGGCTCCACCTCGGTTCCAACTGTTATTTAACCACGGCGGTGCGGTCTGAGACGCCTTAATCAGCCGGTATCGTGGCTGGTTAAACTTGGAGCCCGCCTGCAGCAGAAATTGCCCTCTTCCAGCAGCATAGGCTGGGCTGGATTATTCAAAGGGCTGTTTATGTGACAACTGTTCAACCTCTGTTACTGGACTGGTTCTTGATTGTTATTATTCCCGGTATTACTTTTCTTATCCTGAGTTTATTCAGTTATCTGGGTTGCCTGAGTCCATGGGGAATTGCATTTTGGGTTCCAATTGTTCCTGTGACTCTTAATGTTTGTTTTTTTGGGTTATTCTTTTTTTTCTCCCCTTATAGTGTGCGTGTGTGTGAAAGCTATTTATGCCCCTCTTTGTCTTTTCAGTTGCTGAGAGCTGACGTGGTGGTTCCTGGTGTCCTGGTGGTAGGGACTTCCCGTTTTGGTGTGCAGTGCCGCCCCCTTCTAGTCCATTGTTTTACAGAGTGCATGTGTGTAGTGGCTGCCACGAGTGATTTGGGGTGCCTTCCTTTCTGTTTTGCTTTATCTACTGGGATCACTCCTCACTTCGCCTCGACCCACTCCATCAGGTAAGCCTCAGCACCTGAATTAGGCTCCCCCCTCGCCTTCCCGTGTGTGTGGGTAGTATATTTTAACAAGACCTGTTATTTTAATCATGTTTAAATAAAGAATTGCTGTTTTTTCTAAATTATAACCACGTCTCTGACTCTCTCTATGGTAGAACGGATCTACGTATCCTACCTTTAAAATTAATTCTTTGGGTGAAATTCCCAAGGTGGCGTTATTGGT